ACATTTCCAAGCTGCTTCTCAAATGTAAACTACAAACACTTAAGTAAAAAGCCAAACCGAGCCGAAACTAAATCAGTTTCTCTGCACAGAAACAGCTCAGACCAACAACAGCACAGCTTTGATCGGTGGATTCAGAGTATTTTTTGTCATTCGCTTTGTGCTCAAACAGAACTGAATCATGATCAGTGGATGAGCATTTCCAGTCATTCCTGTGATCAGCAGGTCAGCAGCTCCAGACCTGGAGATGCAGCTGCGGTGCGACTACCAAGGCAGGAAGGGGTCAGGGGTCAGGGAAGGGGGGGACGATGGTGGGGAAGTGGGGTTCAGAGGTTTGCTGTAAAGCAGGCGGACACACAGACAGCTGGGAACAACAAACCTGTCAAAGCCAACTTACCCACTGTCTGAAAAGGCTTCTCTATGAGGGGTCATATGGAGAGGAGGACACGTTTACTACATGTTTACTGCAGAGGTTCAGGCTACAGCATGATTCAGGCAGCCACACTTTAAGAGTAACTTCACCTTTAAAGCAATTTCTGTTTCTAACTGAATATCCTTACCTGTTAAAAACATATCTCCAATACAAAGGTGTTGTTAAACATAAAACAGTATCAGACGAGGAAAACACGTTTTTGCTGGAATTGAATTAAACACAGACCGACTCAGATCACCGATTCATCGTATGACAGACTGTCCAACGCAGCCACAGTGTGTCCACTGAACTGCGCAGGTCATTGTGTCGATGAAAAGGTCGGAGATGATCAAATAACATTACTTGGCTATCACACAGCTTGAATCCCACAGAGTATCGCTGACATCTACTTAGCGAAGTTTGATAATAAAAAAAGAGTGTAATTAAACTAAAATATTTTTAAAATATAGGGACAAAATAGCCCACAAAACAACGTATTTTGTCCTGATTAACCGCCAAACCATGACTTGTTTACAGTAGTAACTAAAGCCATTTCTAAGCTGCCTGTCATGTGAAGTGGAAACATGAAGCAAAACAGCAGCTCAATGAAAGCCAGGTGTGAAATTAATGAAATAAAGCTGACTGTCGTCTTTGACGAAACAAAACTCATGAAACAAAACTTCCACAGGGGGACGTATGTCAAGGAAATCTGCTGAGTAAGCAGATTTCGCATGACCACGAGGTAGGACGGATTTACGGGTAGCACAGATGAACAGAACCCCGGCTCGTCAGGCATGTCGAGACGCGTTAGAAGGAGTGATTTTGAAACCAGGAGATGTCCGCGGTCATTACCGAAGATCTCCGGTCAATGAGCGCGGACAGGGAAAGAGCAGATTGCTTTCTCTGGGAAGAAAAACAGAAAGGGTAGGAGGGTAAGTCCTGAAAGACATCACTTCTGATAATGAAAACGCTCCCTGTATTGAAAGAAAGCCATTTATGCAACTTGGTCATGAAGGCATCACCTGGTGCTCGTCTCATTTGGCATAAAGAAGCATCCGGATTGAATTCATTTTCTTTCTTTTTTTTTTTTTTTTTTTCGCAGGAAGACGTAAAATACGTCGGCGTATTAAGGCCACGCTAGGAAAATGAAATATATAAAAGTACGAGAATGAAGCTATAATACTACGAGAATAACGTCATAGTATTACGAGAATAGATCTGCTGTGACTTTATTCTCATTATATTTTCCGAACTATTTCATCGTCGTTTTATTATGACTTTATTCTCATGCTTATATTTTAATTTTTCTAACTATGGCCATAATACTCAGTCGTAGTAAAAGCAGCAGCAGCCTCAGAAATTTGCACAGGGGTGGCCAGACCAACCTATTAATTTGATTAATTTATTTGCTGTCTTGTTGAAAAAAGACGACTCTATGTACCTTTTTACAAGCTGAACATGATTCTCTAGAGGGAGGGGGCCAGCATTTTTCAAAAGGGGGCCATGGCCCCCCAGGCCCCTCCCTCGGGGGCCCCACTGTGTAAAAGCAGATCAGCAGCAGCGATGGATGGCTTCATTTGGCTGCATCACGCCCAGGCAGAGGCATTCATGGCCATGCTCCTCTGCCCACGTCTGTGCTTTTTTTGCTGAGGGTTATTTCTTTTATTATTATTATCATTTATTTATTTTTTGTTCCCGTCCACTGTGGCTGAAATAAAAACTCACCGGGCTCCGTTTCTGTCCGCCAGGTGCCCGAATGGACCAAATGCAGCAGCCGGGAGAAGAGGAAGGAGAAGAAAGTTGAGAAGCCGTTCTACTCCGACTCAGAGGGCGAGTCCGGCCCGACCGAGTCTGCTGACAGCGGTAACCTTTAACCTCTGCGTGGCGTCGTGACGCCTTTTATCAAAACGGACGTTGGTGGATCTGCTGTGAGTCGAGGACATTGCTGAGCTAAAGTCTGTGCAGGGAGCACAGACAGGTCAGAGGTTACAAAACAATGTAAAACGAGCTGTTGATGCCTTCGCTGTTCAAGACAGAAGTTTACAGACGCAGAATAAAAATACACCTGCACCTTTTTTTTCCTTCCCTGTCTGAAGTTAAATCAGACCAAACCTCTCTGGTGTTTGATAAACAGAAATCATTTTCTATTATTGCTTTGCCACAATAACGGGAGGAAATGTCAAACTCTTATTTAGTGATGTCTTCAAAATGACAATAAAGTTCAGGAAACATAAACATTCACTGAGACGCGGCTTTTTTGACATCGTAACTGAAGTATTGACTTTTTTTTACATAACTTAACATTAATGAAGTGAGCACCTCTTTTTTTTTAAAGATGGATTTAATCAAATATTTTATTCATTTGTTAAGAGAAACCAATACATTTGTAGTGCTTCTCTGAAAACATAACCAAACTGATTATCAAAGTTTTGCATATGAAGATAAACGGATAACAACATAAAACATCTGGTTGGTTTGAGCTGATGAGTTGACGCAAGACGTCTCTCTGGACTGAAAGCAAACTAAAGGCTTCAGTTGCTTCTACAAATTGTTCTGATGTCACTAAAAACGTTTAAGCAGCTCCACTTCAGCTCGTTCGATTCAACTAAATGTTAGAGACACAAAGTGACTGATCGTAATTATGGACGACTTGTCCCTAAATATGTGCTTGGAGCAATAAGTCAAACAAAATAACAGAAGAAATCTGTGTTCCACATCTGCAAAAATGTTTTGATGAAATACTTTCCCTCAGAGCAAACATCTTCTGTTCCTTTCCAGAGTCGGACTCGGCCAGCGGCTCGGAGAGCGAAGAGAGCGGCGAGGTCTCTGTGTCTCCCTCCTGACGTGTGAATCAAACGAGCGACTTTGTCTGAATTCACACGATTTATGTCCCTGTATCATAAACAGCGTTTCCTTTAAACCGGAGCAGCAACGGGAAGCGGGACGAATGAATGAACTAAAGAGTTGCGCTAAAGTGTTTCACTATCAGTGATGGCAAAGTTACTTTGGAAAAGTAACTAATCGGATTACTGATTACTCTTGAAAAAGTAACTTAGTTAGATTACTGACTACTTGATTTAGAGACTAAGTTGCATTAAAAGTAACTATTTTATTACTATTTAACAACAACAATTATGTGAAATCATATTGATCTTTGCCAAAACTTAATTGCAAGTTATTTTATAATGACAACATCAACAATGTGTCTCCGCTATATGGTTGATTGTTTAATGCTTACAACAGTACACAAAAAAAAAAAAAAAAAAAACGCTTCCAATTTGTGCGTGTTTTGTTTCTAGTCTCTGGAAAACTATAAATAGGATTTTGCCCACCCTCACCCCCCAGCCAGTCTGAAAACAAAATATGCGTATAGGTTTAATGTCTAGTTGTGCCCAGAGGCTCCTGCTGCTGAATTTACCTTTTCTTTTTCCTTTTACACAAAAACTTGTAAACAAGTTTCCGGGTTACGGTATAAAACACGATACAAGAGAGAAGACGGTAAGCTTTAATTTTTATTTGTACAATAAATAAACTTGCAATACCTCAAGATTACAATTCACAACCACACACAGGGCATGATAAACCATACTTTGTCTATGTGAAAGCCATTGGAGATGAAAGGAACGACCAGGTGTGAATTTGCTGTTTTCTGCGAAAACCGCCTCCTTTTGGTTGGGGGATATTTCATTACCTCTACATTCCTCGTTGTGACTCTGACGCGATCATCGGATGGTTTAGGATTAATGGCAACCGAAACAAAATGTTTGCGAACATGTACTCTCTCCACGACTGGCTGCATCTGACATGATGTGCTGCCTCTGCTCCTGACTTTGTCTCCGAGGGCAAAAAAGACAAACGAACATTTTCCATGGAGCTCTCAAGTTTCACAAAAATAAGCCGCATGACCTCTGACTTGAATGTGATTTAGACAAACAAACAAAAAAAAGGTCTTGCAAATGACTTTTAAATGCAATTTCAAAATGTTTTCCTTAAACCCAAACAGTTTTGAACAAAATGCTACCTTGACATGAATTGATTGCAGTATTTTTAGGTAAGCAACAAATTTGAGATTTCCTTTAAATATCCGACTTAGCGGTTAAGTCGATTAATGAGTTTTACAAATCCACTTTGACACCACGACAATGCTTGTATGTCTATCTAGTTATAATTGACCAGTGTTCTGATTTCATACTGGCATGACACGGTTTGTTTTTTTTCTTCAAACAGATAAAAGTAATTTAGTTCTAGTGCGTTTTTGGATCTAGCTAAACTGTGACAGCTGCGTAGCCACAGTAGATATTAATGTGGAAGAAATTCAAATCAATTTCCAGAGCACGGCTAAAGCGGTCCCAGGTTAAAGACCGACAGCTTTAGCTTTTCCTCTCGGTCACTAACTTCACCAGCTTAAAACCGAGGATTAACGGAAACAAAGTCAGGACTGAAGAGTGAATGGATGAAAAAGCAACATGAAAACTGCTTCACTGTTGTAGAACAGAAATCAGAACCGGACCCATGCGAGCTGGGCCTCTAAATTCAGTTTCTACTTGTCTCTGGATGCCCGGTTTATCTGGTCACACCACAAAACTTCGGTTTTGGTAGCATTTTGTGTTTTTTTATTTCACCTGAAACAAAACTTTTAATGTGGACAATGAGCAGAGAACCTCCAAACATTTACGTCCATTTTGCTTCCATACTTAAACTGGAAACCAGTAAGTGGTTTAGTGAGCAGCTAAACGATGATTATGCTACAATTCGATGTCTTCTCTGTCACTCTTCAGATGCATGGCTCATTATCTTTTCACACTCTGGAAGCTTCCTGTCCAACGTGGCTTGTTGGAGAACGCAGTCCTAAACAAAATCCGCGGGGTGGCTGGAGTGAGGGGGGCACAAGTGGAGCCGGGCGTCCGCTTGTCGTCACTGCGTCAGGGCCAGCAGGATGTCCTTAACCAGCATGGTGCCGATCACCATTTTCTCACAGTTGATCGTCAGCTGGGCGGCGCCCTCCTCTCTGGTCGTCACAGTGACCAGCACCAGGCTGCCGCTGGTCACCGTTCTGCCCAAACCTGTGGGCAGGATGTTCAGGAGGAGGAACAGGAGGACTGAGGTCAAAGCAGCAAAAAACAGAGCAGAAGTAAGGTTGAAAACACAGAGCGAGAGTGAGATGGACGTCGGTTACCAGGATGTCGACTCAGATGCAAAAATTAGATAAATTCTCAAGATGGAGGCAAAAAACCCAAAACTGATCTTTCAGTGTTTCTCAGTTCCAGTTCTCAGGAAAGAGAAGGACCCCAACTGGGAATTCAACCCATAACCCTGTGGTTCAAATCGAGACATGAATGATTCACTATCAGGTCTTTTCCGTCTTCCAAACCAATTAGTATTTCCATCATCAACCGCATTGATTTTCTGAGTTTGCGCTGCGTTGCAGCAGGTAACATCTTACAGACTGATTGCATGTTTAGGGGACGACCAGAGCGTGATTTCTACAGAAATCAGTTCGCCTTTCTGTCAACAATGACAAAAAAAAAAAAAAGGAGTGATGATTAGCAAACGGATGTGTTCCTCCTCAGAGGAAACATGGGAACGGACGGAGTGAACAGCATCCTTTCGCAGAAGAGTGTATGCGTTGAAGGTGAAGAAGTTTATGAAGAGTGAAAACGCGAGTGGAACCCATCGTTAAAAACACAAGCAAAAAATGAATGGATGTTGATTTAACGTCTTCTTCTGCAACAAGATTAAAATGTATAAATAGATTTCATGTCTTATTTTGCAATAAGAGTTAAAAGGAAATAAAGTCAAAAATAGGTTCATAAATATAGATAAAAAGTGCTAAAAATCTTTAACTGTGAAACATGCCTCCAGTGATTGCTTTGAGTGACGGATTAAACATTTATTTTATTTAGAATCTTCTGATCAGGCCCAATTTTCTTTGTATTTCTGTATTGTTGGTTTTACTATATCAGGTGTATTGGAAGTGACCTTTCTTGTACCATCAGCTCAACAGAAACAGCTGAGCTAGCAAGCAGACAGCATTGTAGCAACAGTTGTTAGCATAAAACTGTTAATGCACCAGTCACCACTGTAGTAACAATTCCTATCATTTCCTGTCATTTTTTTGATCACAGCTGCTGCTGTGGCTAATTACAGATTAGCTACCACTGAGCTCTTTTAAATTGGGTTGGGGTGCTGGTCTATTAGCTCTCTAAAAACATACTTTACTTGAACTTTGTTGTCGTTATTGAACAAGAACATGTATTGATGGTCATAGTCTGTTTGTTTTGCTTCTTTTATAGATTTCAAGTATGGACATGAAAATAAACAGCACTATAACAATATGGAACATTTTTTCTGAATCGAACTTCTCCAATACAACTGCATTTTTAAAATTAAAATAGATATTATGCTAAAGACTCAACAGAACAGCCGAGTCGGTCCGGGCTAACTCCTCAACTTACAAAACTTGAGACGGTTCTTTGCTTACTCAGCTGTAAAGGCAATAAACAGAGGGAGAATCTTAAAGTGTATTCACATCTGTTAGTATGGCTTGCTTGAAGACATACTAATTCAAGGATAGTGACATCTAATGGCTAAAGCGGAGAATGCAGCCAACTGAATATCATTTGCCACAGATTTCTTTTCAAATTATTTGGAAATTCAACCCTCCTAATCTGCAGCCATGTCAGCTTTCGATTGTGAAGAGTACAGAGCACGACTATTAGCGATTTGAAGTTTGAAGCCTCATTAAAAAGTTAATTCAACACTCAAACTGTCATTACTGTTATTATATTCTGCGGACTGGACAAAGATGCTGTTACTATTGACTATATCCTGAGATTTGAAAGCTGATTATGCGTCTCATTTGAACGACTTACTGCACAATGAGGCGCCGATCCCCCTACCTGCACTCTTTGTCTGAGCCGCAGGGAACGCGGCTGAGGTTGGCGGCCGTGGTCACTCTCTGGACGATGGCGTGCTCGTTCCGACACTTGGCGTCTAGAGTTAGCTTCTCTGTGATCTCATTCATTCCCATCAGCTGACCTGGAAGAGTGTCAGCACCGCAGGGGACGAAAAAAGAAAAGCCGATCGGTTAGTCGTTTCCAGGCCTGTCACAACAAGAAATCCTGCTGGACGATAAACTGTCCCAGAAATTGGGGTGATGAAATAATAGCATTCGTCTGGAGGCCATTTTTCACTAAAATAATAATAATAATGCACAATAATGTGCGTGCGCCCCCTCAAAATTAAGAAAAAACTTTAATTTCAAAATAACATTTAACACTGGAACCAAATAAACAACAGTAACTAAGATGTTATAAACAAAACTGCATTAAAAGAAGTGATTTTGATAAGTAACTGTAGTCTGACTACTGGATTTGAAATAGCAACATGTTAGATTACTAGTCACTGACAAAAAGTGGTCCGACCGACGACAGTAACACGTTACTGACATCACTTCACAGGTTTGTTCAGATCCAGGTGTTTGTGGTCTGAGTCGACCTAAACTAGAGATCTGTTTATCAGTGAGGAAATGATTTCACCGATTAAGACAAGTCTGTCTAAAACTAAAACTGGGAACATAGAAATCTGTCAACCAGAGGTATCAATAGGACTTCTCATCAGAAGAGGATTTGATGGCAGAGATGGAAAACCAAAACAATGAGCAATGTCAGTCCGATCTTTTATTGGAAACCTGAACGTTTTCAGAAATTGTGCAATGCTGTAGAGAAGGATTTATAGATTTACATCTCCACTTTGATGTTAAGCTGCAGTCAAACTCTGTATTTCACAGAAATAGTTTTGTCTGAACTGAGTCCTTTGATGATTTCATTGTTTTAAAGTAGCACAGAAAAACACAAATCTCTTTCTTTTACAGCTGTATTGTAATTTTTCTAACTAGCTATACATTTCCTCTTACATAAATTTCCTCCAATACCTTTTCTCCACTTTATCTCTCATTATTTTAAAAATGCCCCGACGTGTTTCTTTACTGTGGGTTTGTGGTGAGCGTCTTGAAAGTTTCGTTCATGTCACAAAGTAACAGAATCATAATAAAGTCAATAAAAAACTTAGAAATATCTGTAGGAATATCATTTGGAAGCCTCTTCAGAGGTAATATTGCACTTCCAAACAATCCTTTTAGGAAGTTTCTAAAGTTTAAACTCTTGCACAGTAAAAAAGATACAACTGTGGTTAGACAAACGCACGTCTCAAACTGAAAGAGTGTTTGCAGACGGGACATGAGTTATAACACGAACGTTGTTGTGAGCAGGTTGTGTCACATGCTGAGTAAAAGACGAGGAAACGTCTGAAAACTAAGAGGACAAAGAATGAGGCTGATCGGCAAGGAAAAAACCCAAACAAGCCAAAGGAATAATTGCAGGGGAAACTTGAATGAACAAAGTATTTTATAGAACTCAGCACACGCTCACATATTCATGATGTCCTTTGATTAAACTAATTTAACTTGGGTGTAATTCCAGTACTGAAAAATGAACTTCATACCAGGTGAGTCTCTCTTACCTGAGAATGTGAATCTGTACTGGATTTATTCTGCCTTCAGATAATTTTAACATGTAGAAGATTCACAACTTAGAACTTAAAAGTCTGAAACAGGAACGGGTTGTAAAAACAGCCTGTGTGCTTCACTCAGGAGAGAGATTCATTTGATGCATCAAAAGTGATGTCATCACTGCTGATGTCATTGTTGCCAGTGGAACCGAACATTCTACTGGTCCATTCACATCAAACCCGTTTTGAGCGTCAGGCCGGTTTATATTCAAAGTCTATGTGGAGTGTTGGATGCGCTGGACGTGTCAAACGCTCCAAACGGTTCAAATTGCGCCGCGCTAGACGCTCAAAGCGCCTCCACATAGACTGAATGCAAACCAGACGCACCTGATGCTCAAAACGCATTTGGTGTGAACGCACCTTTATATGTCCAGTGTCACATTAGGTCAGTGTTTCTCAGTTCCTCTCCTCAGGCCCCCTAAAACATGCAGGGCAGGTGATCCACCTGAGGAGGGGAAGTGAGAAACACTTCATTAGTCCATCATATTAGGACCAAAGCCTGGTCCTAATATGATGGACTCATTCATTTGGGTAACGTTTAGAGGTTAGATCCAAATTAAGTTTTAGTTAATAGGAATTGTTGTGGGGAAAAAAAATACTTCCAAGCACTGTTCAAGTAAAATCACTCAATCAGGTTAATTCATGCATTGTGCACAATGCAGAGAGCTCATAAGACGATCAATAATCAAGCCAGTCTGGATGCAAAGCTCACAAAACTCTCCCAGGCAAAGACAAACACCTAAGTTTCATGCAAGGATAAGGAATCAAATCAAGGTGCGAGTCGGCCTGGTTCCCGTGCAACCATCCAATCTCGTACATTTAACCCAAATAGTCCTCGGATGTTCAGTCGAGGGATTTTGATTCCTTATCCTTGCATAAAACTTAGGTGTTAGTCTCTGCCTGGGAGAGTTTTGTGAGCTTTGCATCCAGACTGGCTTGATTATTGATCGTCTTATGAGCTCTCTGCATTGTGCACAATGCATGAATAAACCTGACTGAGTGATTTTACCTGAACAGTGTTTATATAATATCAGGTTATATTTCTGCCAATTGCATAGCTGCATTAGACTAGTAGTCTAATGTCTTAGGACATCTTAGGACAATTTAGAAAGACCAATTAATCAATTAATTAATGCAGAGTTTTAGCCTAACCTGGGTTTGTGTTGTGACCGAGGTTAGTACCCGAGTGTGGGTCGCCGCAAAGGCCGAGCCGGGATTAGCTTGCCCTTCCTGCCAATGCCAACTCGAAGGCCCTCCATGCAACCGGTGGAGGTTGGTTGCATGGTCGTCTGTCTGTCCTCGGACCTCCAGGTTTGTGTGGAGGTCTGGGTTTGCGTGGTCTCCTCTCTTTGCAACCTGGATGTGGGTCGGTGCAAAGGCAACCGGGCTATGGATGGAGACCTCCGGTTGGTTCAAGGTCTGCCTGTCCCTGGACTCCTCTGTTTGCAGGGGGGTCTCTGGTCGGGTGGCGACTTCAGGATGGTTAGTTTCCATAGCAAGTTTTAACTTGAGCTTCAGGTCTGCAACCTGATCTTGCAAAGACTTCACTGTTGCCTCTTGTTCTACGAATTTAGAAGCTTGCTCTGCGTGATGTTTGAGCTGTTCCTCATATTTCAGCCTCACTCTGTACTCTTCGACCATTACTTCAATGAGGCCTTTATTGTGGGAGGCATGTTTTACAGCCTCCCACTTGAAGTAATCGAGCTGGCGAAGAAGGTCCTTGTCAGCTGTCACTTTGGTCGAGCAAGAAGCCCTTGAGCTACCTGTCGTCTCCGGCACCTTTCTGTCACGATCTTGTTTGACTTGCTGGTGACGTTCTTTCTGTAACAGGTTTTGCAGTCTTTGAATTTCGTCCTGCTGGGATTGGACTTGAGCCTGATAGGCAATCCTTTGTTCTCGTTCCTCATGGAGATCAAAGATCTTGCTCTGTAACTCTTTTTTAGATCATCCACCTGCTTTGTGAGGTCGAAGACGTGTTGGTTTGTCTCGTCCTCGACTTCCACTGAGGGGTTGATCTGGAAGCCAGCAGACCGAGTTGTTTTCTGCTCGACTTCTGAAGATGTTGTATTCTCAAAGTCGCCGGAAGGACTTGATTCCCCCTGGTTCTCTGATGGTACACCTTCCGGCTCAAAGGGGCTGTCGCTGTCGTCCTCAAAAGGAAAAACGACGGCGTCGTAGTCGACCTGGACGTTGAGGTCCACTATGTCGACCCATGAAAGCTTAGATGGAAAAGCTTCATGTTGACATGCAATTTGTTGGTGCTTCATGTCGGTATTCTTGCTGTAAAAGGCGTGCGATATCTGCAATCGATATCCCGCTTGTCTCAGTGACTTTCGAACGTGTTTTGTAGAGTGATCTGCTGCAATCGAAATGTGGAACAGGTCTGACAAAACTCTGTCAGTGAGCTGAATTCAAGAGAGAGATTCCTTTGTGGTGTCATAGAGTTATGACATCACTGCTGATTTCAATGATACCATTGGAAAAACATTCTTTTCCTATGGGAGTTGATAAGCAACCAGTCCTAGAGCACCGCCATCTGCTGGCCATTCATGGAAGTGCGCTTCTAAATAAAATTACTGCATCAAATGATTTTTTATCATCTGTTGAAAAAAGGCTGAAAAATTCTGACGATTTTTTGAAAATTCTAAAATTACACTCTAAAATATGTTTTGTTTTTCTCCACAGTAACTAATATTATTTTGCACCAGCAAAGACAATCAGGTTTGTTATATATTGATCATCTAGTGGTGGCAAAAGCAACAACAGCAAAAAAAAGCTAGTCTGCTCTGGACTTAAGATGGACAGAAAACAGGTAAAAGCATCAGGTAGTGCAAGCTAACTACTTTGTACAGGTATCAAATGTTTACAGCGTTTTTTCAACAATATTAAGTGAGCTTTTCTTCAACGACTGATTTAACACTTATCAATTGATGTGTTACTTATTGTGAGAGGTTTAGTCATTTCTAACATCTCACCATTGAGAAACAAAAGCACTGAAATAACGTACGACCAGAATATATCTAAATATATATGTAAAGAGTTCTAGATGTCTACCAAATTTGGACATGCAGTATTACATGCAGCACACATACTGTATTTACAGCCCAGCAACGTGGCTTCTGCATGACTACCTTTAAATCCCGCTGCAGATTAGGATTTTAGTTGTGCTCAGTAAACCAGGAATAACAAACAAACGGTACAAACTGGAATGCAGCGATGCTTCCCACTGAACACCGAAGGGGATTGATGGTAGACCTCTCCCTTCCAATACATTTCCAAGCTGCTTCTCAAATGTAAACTACAAACACTTAAGTAAAAAGCCAAATGAGCCGAAACTAAATCAGTTTCTCTGCACAGAAACAGCTCAGACCAACAACAGCACAGCTTTGATCGGTGGTTCAGAGTATTTTTTGTCATTCGCTTTGTGCTCAAACAGAACTGAATCATGATCAGTGGATGAGCATTTCCAGTCATTCCTGTGATCAGCAGGTCAGCAGCTCCAGACCTGGAGATGCAGCTGCGGTGCGACTACCAAGGCAGGAAGGGGTCAGGGGTCACGTCTCAGGGAAGGGGGGACGATGGTGGGGAAGTGGGAGTTCAGAGGTTTGTTGTAAAGCAGGCGGACACACAGACAGCTGGGAACAACAAACCTGTCAAAGCCAACTTACCCACTGTCTGAAAAGGCTTCTCTATGAGGGGTCATATGGAGAGGAGGACACGTTTACTACATGTTTACTGCAGAGGTTCAGGCTACAGCATGATTCAGGCAGCCACACTTTAAGAGTAACTTCACCTTTAAAGCAGTTTCTGTTTCTAACTGGAGCCATTGGACCTTGTCATCACCATCCTAAAATAATGCCCTAAAACGTTTTTCACCAAAATATCTTATTTCTTTGGTTATGGAAAGGATGGGGGATAGGGAGGTTGTTGTTTTTTTTTTTTCAAAAATCACTTTTGGCAAAAAATGACTTAGGCCATTTTTTAAAGGAAGGAGACGTTATGCTTTATGGGCTCAGTCAATCAGTTTCTTCATATCATCCCATACACAGTGGGATTTCCACTGGAAAACTCGCTAAGTCTGGGGGTAGAGAAGTTCACCAGTTGTGTTTCTGTCTTCAATGAAAAAAAAAAAAGAAAACATGGCAGTACACTAAATAAAACTAGTCTTTCTGTAGGTTTTGTCTGCATAATCAAATGCTGCTATCTTTTTTAAGAAGATAGAACTTCTTATTAGATATAAACATAGCTGTGACTGTTGCTGATGTACTAAACTAAATGAACAAACAATATTTACCCTGTTGGAGGGGGTCAAGTACAGCCTGGCAGCCCGCCAGGCTTATAATGCACTGAGGGAGACCCTGCATAGATCAGCATTTTGTCCACACTGCATGTCAGTCGATGACAGAAATGCTCCTTTTATTGTTTTACAACCTCTATTAACAACTTCTTTATTTATTATTTTGTTTAAATTCAAACACACGAGAGAGAGAGAGAGAAGAGAGAGAGAGAGAGAGAGGGAGAGAGAGGAGAGACAGAGAGAGAGAGAGAGAGACTGCAGGCAATTGGCTAATTTCAGTGCCTAGTCTCATTGACAGGTTGATGTACATGGTGTTTAGTTATAATAATGAGATAAAAAGCCTCGCTACGCCTCAGCATCAATGGCAGAGGAACATATTACTGCACTTTAAAGGAACGCTCACCTTGCTCTCTTTTGAACTCGTTCTCTGTGAGGAAGACCGGCCTCATCAGCTCTCCGACTGGCGGCTGGATGGACACGAAGAACTTCCTGGTGTGCGTGCTGCAGAAAGACGACGATAGATTTATTGATTTTTGATCAGCGTTGGTTTTATTTTGCAAAGAAAATAGATTCAGGCGTAGAAGTGGTACTTTTTTTCTTTTTGTTTCTTTCAATGGGACAAACGGAGCCTCGGGTTGTGCATAGACATGAACTCGCACACAGGGTAAAAAGCTCCCGGGGTCCAACTCTTAAGACAGTTGAGGAGATTGTCTTATGCTCCCAATTCTACTTTTGTTTTTGTCCTTTCCTTTCTGAATCATAAAAATGATCTGCCAACCAAATTGCAGTAAAAGCATAAATGTTAATCTTGGCCTGTCTTTAGCCGTTGATCTCTTTCAACCTGATCATCAAAACTTCAGTCTTAGTTTACGACACGTACTCTGGAGTGTCCCACCAGGATACACTTTTAAAAAATGACTAGTCAATCTTATCATCTTATTCATAAACAATGAAAAAATGTCAGATATTTAATTTTGAGAGATAAACTGTGGCTTATGAGAAAGAAACGCACGGTGTCTTGCTGTTTGTGAGAATTGCTTCGAGAAATGCTCTTGCTATGCAAACGTCAAAAATAACTATTAGAAAAGCTGATAGTTTTGCTACAGACGTTCCCGCTGTGTTTTGAAATCGAGTGTAAGAACGTGAAGCTGAGGGAACAGGGACACCAGCTCACCACAGCTGGAAGTTTGCAGCTTGTGTCGAGTCACAGAAATCAATGCCCAGAACCGCCGTGGCCGTCTCGCCGGCTGGCAGCGACTCTGTCGACACGCAAAAGCGTAAATGACGTTGATTAAAAGTCTGGAGAGAAAAAATCGAAACACGTGAGCGACGTCTCCGGTCGGGGTACCTATCTCGGGGAACTCCTTCACCCTCATCCCCGACTGGAGCTTCACGTCCTCCATGTGCAGGTTCTTGGTGTCGGACGTGGAGCTGTTGGTGAACTGCATCTGCACCGCCACCATGTTGGCGTCGGGGCTGAACGGCTGCCGGCTGAAGCAGTACTCCACCGACAGACCCTCGCCCGTGATGCGGTGCAGCAGCTCGTAGCTCTTCAGCGCGCTGGAGGGGGCGATGGTCTGCGGAAACACGTCTCACGTCTCACACGCTGCCTCTGTTCCACCCCGACACTTTAAAGACAGGAAGCGTTTCTGCTTACCGCTGGTGACATGACGGCTTCGGACAGGGAAAGGCCCTCCAGGTCGGTCACCAGGCTGTTAGAGAGCAAGTTGTTGACCGGGGTGACTTGCGGTGAGGGCGCTGGTTCAACTGGGAGGGAAAGATAGAAGTCGACATTCAGAGACGGAAACCTGACGCCGAACGTTTATTTATTCAGTCCTTATGAGAAAGAAATCATCTTATCTGCTCTGTTGCTTGATAAGCAGAAGACCAGCCCATGTTTACATCAAACATCTGCTTTCGCTCCAGAAACACGGACAAAGAAAAACCCGACTCACAATCATCGAGGTCCAAAAGAGACATTTCCTTCTTCTCTTTCTTGGTTTCTTTCTTGACGGGTTTGGAAGGAGGTTTAGATTCAGCTGCCTGGAGGAAGGGCAAGTACAAATGTCATGAGCACCTGGCAACTTATAAAACACGTGGAAGAGGACTAGGGTCACTGAAAATAATAACCATAAACAAATAAAATTCAAACATAATTGTGAAAGAAGTTTTTCTCTGAATTCGGAGAAACTCGAAGAGACAAAAACATATCTGAGTTTCAAATTCCTTCATTTGAATCTCCAAATAATTTAGGGATTCAGTTCTGAATTCTGAGAATAAAATTCTGTTTAAAAAAAAAATGAATTCTGAAATTCAAGACAAAATTCTGAGATTAAAATCTGAACCCTGATATTAAAGTCCCCTCCAAAAAAAAGCTGCATCCAGAGATACATTAAAGTCTGAGTCCTGATTATTAAAGTAATGATTCTGAGAGTAAAATCCAGAGCTGGTTTATCTCTATGGACAAAAAGCAGAGAGTCATTATTTTTAAGAGGACAAAATGTAAAAAAAAAAAAAAAACCCTCGAGGGTTAGGAATATTTTTCTCCGTCAGTCTCCTCGGTGTACCTTCTTTTTCTTCCTGACTTCTGCTTCAGACTCGGAGTCGTCAGACTCCGACTGGCTGCTCTCAGACTCGCTCTCCTCTTCCTCGTCAGACTCTGACTCCGAGTCGCTCTTCCGCTGTTTCGTCTTCCTCTCGTGTTTCCTATCTTCCTCTTCGCTGCTCTGCTCACTGAAAGCAGAAAGGAGACGGCGATTAAATGAACAAGACAGACACTGATCTGGTTTCGGCTAAAGGGAAGCGACACCGGACGACCCCAGGCTTTAAAGTCGATTGCAAGAATCCTCTGGAAAACAATAAGATTGTCAACCTTTCAAAACGTGTCAAGTCACCTCTCGCTTTCTTGCACCGCCTTCTTTAATTCTCTCTTCTTCGTTTTCTTCTCCTCCTTTTCCTCCTCCTCGTCCTCCTCAGACACAGAGACCTCGCCGCTCTCTTCGCTCTCCGAGGCCGAGCCGCTCCTCTCGCTGCCGCTCTCCGAGCAGCTGGCCGAGTCCGACTCTGGAAAGGAACAGAAGATGTTTGCTCTGAGGGAAAGTATTTCATCAGAACATTTTTGCAATGTGGAACACAGATTTCTTCTGTTATTTTGTTTGACTTATTGCTCCAAGCACATATTTAGGGACAAGTCGTCCATAATTACGATCAGTCACTTTGTGTCTCTAACATTTAGTTGAATCGAACGAGCTGAAGTGGAGCTGCTTAAACGTTTTTAGTGACATCAGAACAATTTGTAGAAGCAACTGAAGCCTTTAGTTTGCTTTCAGTCCAGGAGAGAGACGTCTTGCGTCAACTCATCAGCTCAAACCAACCAGATGTTTTATGTTGTTATCCGTTTATCTTCATATGCAAAACTTTGATAATCAGTTTGGTTATGTTTTCAGAGAAGCACTACAAATGTATTGGTTTCTCTTAACAAATGAATAAAATATTTGACTAAATCCATCTTTAAAAAAAAAAGAGGTGCTCACTTCATTAATGTTAAGTTATGTAAAAAAAGTCGATACTTCAGTTACGATGTCAAAAAAGCCGCGTCTCGGTGAAGTGTTTATGTTTCCTGAACTTTATTGTCATTTTGAAGACATCACTAAATAAGAGTTTGACATTTCCTCCCGTTATTGTGGCAAAGCAATAATAGAAAATGATTTCTGTTTAGAGAGGTTTGGTCTGATTTAACTTCAGACAGGGAAGGAAAAAAAAGGTGCAGGTGTATTTTTATTCTGCGTCTGTAAACTTCTGTCTTGAACAGCGAAGGCATCAACAGCTCGTTTTACATTGTTTTGTAACCTCTGACCTGTCTGTGCTCCCTGCACAGACTTTAGCTCAGCAATGTCCTCGACTCACAGCAGATCCACCAACGTCCGTTTTGATAAAAGGCGTCACGACGCCAGGCTGAGGTTAAAGGTTACCGCTGTCAGCAGACTCGGTCGGGCCGGACTCGCCCTCTGAGTCGGAGTAGAACGGCTTCTCAACTTTCTTCTCCTTCCTCTTCTCCCGGCTGCTGCATTTGGTCCATTCGGGCACCTGGCGGACAGAAACGGAGCCCGGTGAGTTTTTATTTCAGCCACAGTGGACGGGAACAAAAAATAAATAAATAATAATAATAATAAAAGAAATAACCCTCAGCAAAGAAAAAGCCCAGATGTGGGCAGAGGAGCATGGCCATGAATGCCTCTGCCTGGGCGTGATGCAGCCAAATGAAGCCATCCATCGCTGCTGCTGATCTGCTTTTACACAGTGGGGCCCCCGAGGGAGGGACCTGGGGGGCCATGGCCCCCTTTTGAAAAATGCTGGCCCCCTCCCTCTAGAGAATCATGTTCAGCTTGTAGAAAGGTACATAGAGTCATCTTTTTTCAACAAGACAGCAAATAAATTAATCAAATTAATAGGTTGGTCTGGCCACCCCTGTGCAAATTTCTGAGGCTGCTGCTGCTTTTACTACGACTGAGTATTATGGCCATAGTTAGAAAAATTAAAAATATAAGCATGAGAATAAAGTCATAATAAAACGACGATGAAATAGTTCGGAAAAATATAATGAGAATAAAGTCACAGCAGATCTATTCTCGTAATACTATGACGTTATTCTCGTAGTATTATAGCTTCATTCTCGTACTTTTATATATTTCATTTTCCTAGCGTGGCCTTAATACGCCGACGTATTTTACGTCTTCCTGCGAGAAAAAAAAAAAAGAAAGAAAGAAAATGAATTCAATCCGGATGCTTCTTTATGCCAAATGAGACGAGCACCAGGTGATGCCTTCATGACCAAGTTGCATAAATGGCTTTCTTTCAATACAGGGAGCGTTTTCATTATCAGAAGTGATGTCTTTCAGGACTTACCCTCCTACCCTTTCTGTTTTTCTTCCCAGAGAAAGCAATCTGCTCTCTCCCTGTCCGCGCTCATTGACCGGAGATCTTCGGTAATGACCGCGGACATCTCCTGGTTTCAAAATCACTCCTTCTAACGCGTCTCGACATGCCTGACGAGCCGGGGTTCTGTTCATCTGTGCTACCCGTAAATCCGTCCTACCTCGTGGTCATGCGAAATCTGCTTACTCAGCAGATTTCCTTGACATACGTCCCACCTGTGGAAGTTTTGTTTCATGAGTTTTGTTTCGTCGAAGACGACAGTCAGCTTTATTTCATTAATTTCACACCTGGCTTTCATTGAGCTGCTGTTTTGCTTCATGTTTCCACTTCACATGACAGGCAGCTTAGAAATGGCTTTAGTTACTACTGTAAACAAGTCATGGTTTGGCGGTTAATCAGGACAAAATACGTTGTTTTGTGGGCTATTTTGTCCCTATATTTTAAAAATATTTTAGTTTAATTAAACTCTTTTTATTATCAAACTTCGCTAAGTAGATGTCAGCGATACTCTGTGGGATTCAAGCTGTGTAATAGTCATGTAATGTTAGTGTATATTGATCATCTCCGACCTTTTCATCGACACAATGACCTGCGCAGTTCAGTGGACACACTGTGGCTGCGTTGGACAGTCTGTCATACGATGAATCGGTGATCTGAGTCGGTCTGTGTTTAATTCAATTCCAGCAAAAACGTGTTTTCCTCGTCTGATACTGTTTTATGTTTAACAACACCTTTGTATTGGAGATATGTTTTTAACAGGTAAGGATATTCTTGTGAAAGGATTAGTGCACACATCTACAGCCTTTAATCTCAAACGGGTCGGATGATCAGATGAAGGATGTGATATGTAAATTGTTCCAGTGCCAAGCTTAGTATAAACTCCTGAGCTTCCACTTCAACATGAACACAACCTGCTGCGGTTTTCTGCTTCGTAAACATGACAGCAGCGCGGACGGATGGACCTGGCCGTCTATCCGTGCTGCGGTAGGAAAATCTGACGAGGTAGCGCAGACAGTCAGAACTCTGAATCACTTCTGTAATGGTGAGGAGGAGGGAGAAAGGGGAGCTGTGTTTCAGGTGGCTTCGGCTCAGCTAAGCACAGAACAGCAACTACGTAATAATAAGGCAGGGTGAGAAGAAGCACTCGGGGTTTGATTTTCGCGGCTACGTGGGTTTCGGGCTGAAGGAAGTAGTTGTGGCTTGTCGCCGCTAAACGGACTCACGCTCGTCAGTGTTGTGACTCTTTCGAGCAGCGCAAAAACCTGGCAGATGTGGAAAAGAACCAAAAAAACGAAAAGAGAGAGAGAGAGTAGGGATGGAGATGAGGAAGAAGGAAGGAAATGTTCTGTTTGTTTTAAAGCAAGAGAAAGGCAGGGGATATATATATATTTATATATAAAGAGGTGTAAACAAGTTGGAAACTCAGACTGGAAGTAAACCCTGAATTTCATCACTACTTTGGAAATTATCATCACAGCATCTACTGAGTAACATGGAGCGACTAGATGATGATTTTACACTCTAATATAACTTCATATTAATGCGCTGAGCCCTCCATACGCATTTTGACCCAGGCTGCTGAAGATGTGCAATAGCCTTAAAATAAAATCACATTTTGTTGGTGTTTCGGTTGGTTTTCTCGTCACGTCAGTTTAACAACAATCCACATAAAATCTCATTTTAGCTTTAATTTTTAAGTTGATCAAAGCGTCTCAGATGTGTTAAAGTCAATTTCTGTTTTTCTGAACATAAAGGCCCTTTTGTTTTCATGCTTTTGCAAAATGGGAACGATAAGAAAACATTTAAAGTATCTGGCTCTTATTAAACAATATGTTTGGGTTTTTTTTTTTTACGTATTTGCTAAAACTGTCTTGTGAGAGAACAATATGAGAGACAAAATTAAAAGAAAAACAAATAGAGCTACGCTGCTTAATGCCTCAATACACGGATTGGTCAAAAAGAACCAATCAGAGCAAAGAAGAGGGTCTTGGGACTGTCAATCACTCTCACGTACGCAATGCTTACACTTTTCTGATTAGTCTCTCAGGCACAGGCGCAGCGATTAATGAGTGCTCAGGGATGCTAACGCTAGTTAGCATAGCCACTAATCAATGCTGACAGCAGATGCCTTCATATTGCTAATGGTGGATGAACAACGGAACGTTTTGGGAAAATTGTTAATCTGCCATCATTATTGATTCATCATTGATTCATCATGGATTCATCATTGATTCTGTCACCAGGATGATGATCAAAACTCAACACAGAAGTTTCTCAGATACAAAATCAACTGTATCTTGTGAAGGGCCGCAGAAAAAGACTAAGTTTTGTTGGCAAAGAGGGTTTTCCAAAAGCAATGGTAATTTACAACAAAAGGAATTATGTAACACAAATTGCTTCTCACTACCAAATACTTGCTGAAGTCAAAGCTTTTGTCTGAACATCTTAGTGTAAGATTATGCAACAGCAATAAAAGGTGATCTAATTTCAAGGTTGTTTTTTTTTTTACACATCTTGACCAGAGTTTGTGATACGTGTGAACGGCGCCGCGCGCACACTCACAATCAAACCATCAACAACAAAACAAGACATGTTAGTGAACAATGAAATCATGAGGAGAGGCAGAGGCACAGCGATGAATGAGTGAAGACTGAGGAGGTTGGAGTGAGATCACATCAAGCAACGCCACACGTTAAAAAACAAAACACCACAACTTTGAAGATGGAGCAGCAGAGGAAACAGGAACAAAGTGTGTGTGAAAATATAAACCCTGTGTGTTTGATGTTCTGCTAACAGCGTGTCATCTCCCCGACTTCATGTTCGCCATGCAAGCTTAAAACCAGAAGTCATTTAGAGAACTAATAGGTCCTTGGTGACAGGTTTAGTCAAAGTAAAGAGTCTCACTGTAGCAGCTATCAAAAACAGCAAATGAATGATGATTAGTAATGTCACTCCATCATTTAGCTACAACTCTGGACTTAATTCAAACTGTCCTCTGCATATTGGGATGACAGGTGAGAGAATCCATCATGGAGTCTGGAGGATACAGCAAAATGAAGAACACACCAACACAAAATCTCACCAAGTATTTTTGGTCTAGTTAAAGTGCAAATGTCTTACTACATAAAAAAATTTAAAAAATCAGTAAGATATAGGAGCTTGTTTAATGTAAATAATTCCTTGGTATTTATTTTAAAAAGTATTAGCTCCACCAGCAGAATGTTAAACTTTCTTTCCAATCTCATATTACGTCAAATAATCTGCTCCTGGAACTAGCACATTTTTGAAAAACCCTTTAAATTACCTTCATCTTATTTCAAGTGTACTAAAATATTTGCGCTAGAAACAAGACAAAAAAATGTAAGATTGTCTTTGCAGTGCACAATAATGCCTTCAAATCAAGATTACTGTAAATCTAGAACATGCTAGAAAATTTGATGCCATTTCTATTTTCAGCGATGTGTCTTTGACCAAATGTTGAGATCTGGTTCTTTTTTTTAAATGTTTTTTAAATTATAAGAATTTCAGCGTTCACTTATAAAACAGACAGAAATTCTGTACGATTAAGAAAAATCTTAATCGTGGGCAAACTTTTGAGTAGCACATGACTCCAGTTTCGCCGACGCTCAGCAGAGAAAAAAAAGAGTAAGAGTGAAATCTGAAGGAAAAGAGAGGGAGCGGCCATCAGAACCAAAACCACTGCACTCTGACACTCTGCAGGCGGGGCACCTCTCGCCAGTCTCCCAGCAGGCCGATCCGCCCCTCTCCGGTGGTTATGACTTCCTCCGTCTGAGGACGGGATGCGGAGCGCAGAGGGAGACAGAGCCGGTCAAAACCGAGCCTTCAGGGCCTTCTGAACATCAAAAATCTTACTGATGTTTTACTTTGTTTCAGCCGTTTAGCTAAAACGTGAGGACACAAATTTTAGATCTTTTTTTTTTTTATTTTTATACAATACAAATTCTGACGAGATCAAAATAAGAACATCAACAATATCTTAATGTATTCTGTGAGTTTTTGGCAGAGGAGAAAGAAAATTTTCGTATCGATAACGGCAATTGAAGGGCCGCACAAAACGCCTCACCATTTTTGTCATCGCCGTATTTAGGAACGCCTAGATGCAATGTTTCTGAAGGCACTGTATTTCAATCTGACTCTGACCAGAGGGTTTTGTTTGTTATGGACAGATGCTTTCATTTTTTTATTTTTATTTTAGTGGATAGTTTTAGAGTGTTCATACAAGATATTAAAGGCACATGGCCGACCTTTGGCTGAGGTTCAGACTAGCTCACTCATCCTAGCTCAGCTTTTGAGCTAGCTGAGCTGTGTGATCTTTGTGAAGACCAGCAGAAACGTGGAATAAAAAGGTTTCTGCTTACACATGCTGTTTCCTTCAATGACAAGATCTATGGAAAAACAGCAATAGAATCCACTCTAAAGCCAAATAACCAACATTTCTTTGTCATCTTCTCTGTCCTGTTGCAAAAAATAATGTAAGTTATTTGCACTCATGAGCTCATCAATGGCAGGTTCCTGGTTTCACTATCAGACAAAAACACAGTATGTGGTGGTAGAATCAAGCCTTCAGATCACTTGATTCTACGTCCATTTGAAACACACTGCAGTACCAACTGGGATGGGATGGAGAGGAAGAGGAGAGACTTTGGTCAGAACTGGTAAGACTGAGCTTTCTATTAGACAGTTGAAATCACTATTTTTGTGAAACTGCTGATGATTAATTTAGGAAATAGCTTCATCTAATGTCAAATTAAATGCAATGTTCCCCTAGTGGTTTGTAATTAGGCATCGGCTGCCTACCTGCGGTAATGCACTCTTTTGAATCGTTTCAAAATGGATCAAATTTCCTGTCCTGCTGTTCTTGCAGTTTGTATCATGAAATGCGAGAGAAAGCACCAGAGAAACTGGTAATGTGGAGAGCAGAGGTGCAGAAAAGCCCGCACCTATCTGTGGCGACATAATAAATAAATAAATATGCAAATGAGAACAACGCTGTTGGTCTCAGGTCAGAACCAAAGCCTGCTCCCCCTCCGTAACACGATGTGGCTCAAACGGCTGTGAGAAACGATGTGGACGGGCCGAGGAGCTGCTGCCCAGCAGAAGCGAGTGCAGCAGAGAGGATGAGAGGAGCTTGCTACCACACACTGTTTTCCAGATGCGTCTGAATGCAAAACTTCATTGCAACGACTTTCTCTCATCCACAAGAAAACAATCCTCTTTTCTTTGTGTGACTCGTTCTTCTCAGTGGAGGGAAAGCCGTGAAGCAACATCCATCAGGGTAGTTAACGGCGACCAGAAGGATGTGTGTTAATGGTAATGGGCTGTAAATGAATGGATGAGGAATCCATGATATATTGGAGTTGAGATTATTTTGGATGGGAAGCTCTGGTGTCCAGCCCCTCTGAGGCACTGCTCTGGCGAAGGAGCAGCCCTCGCTCCCCTCCGTCTGTAGGGGCCCCTGGGGGCCCCCTGTGTCTCTGCATGTTACTGTTTCCACTGCACGCACAGACTCCTTCACCTCCACGTTGCGCACGGAGGGGTCGGGGGCGCTTTCGGGCCAGTCGGGCAGCTCCTGGTAGCCCCCGGCCTTGGCGTTCAGCAGGTGGGAAAGCGAACCCAGCTGGAAGTGGTCTCTATCTGCAAAAACACAAAGTAGAAAGTACAGGGGGACGAAATCTGCAATCTGAGAAACCTGAGATGATCAGGCTTAAAATCTTGCTTCAGTGTTTCGAGTTTATAACATGGAGTCAGTCATTTAAAACCTAGATGAACACAGCGCCTTTGACCTCATGCCAGTCAAGTCCTGAGTCAAAAGGAACTTTAAAAGAAATTTATGGATCTTATTTTGCTGTAAAATTAGGGCTGCAACTAAAGATTAGATTGGTAATCAATTATTCTATTGATTATTCTGATGATTAATCGAATAAAATTTTTTGTTTAGCTGCTTAAAACTTTCTAACAATCTTAGAAATATATTAAAATATGCAAACAAACAAGTAATTCAACTCCCTCGAATAAGATCACAATTAATCGAATTGATCCAACCAATCGTCTCTGAATGAAACCCTAATAGTGCGTAGATCTGACTGTATGATGCTAATGGGAAGTCTGCTGCAATTAAGAACTGATTATGTTCGCATATCAACTAAATTTGTTTTGACTGTCATGATTTTTATTTTTTTTCCATTTGCGGAATCAGTGGGTTTTATGAAGAGATTACCATCTGCATTAAAACCATTAGACATTCTTAAAGAGCTTTAGATCTCTAAACACAAAATAAATCCTATATTTGGAAAAATAATTCGGCTCAGAGGAAAATCAAAGCGACGACGGTCTGAGTGCAGGACTTTCATCCTGCCGTACCTTTGAACGGAGACTCGAGGACGGGTGCAGGTTTCAGAGCCAGGAAGAGCTTCTTGGCGTACTTGCTGAGGGCCCCACTCTTCTCCGTGGGCACGATGAGCTGCCGAATAAAGCGGGCCCGATCACGGATGTCGTAGTTCTGGTCGTACTTGGCCAAGTTGAGAACGTACTGCGTCAGCAATTTAGTCTGTGGGAGAAAAACGACGCAGAGGACGAGGACAGCTGACCGTGGAAATCCCCCGGCATGAAAAGGCCAACATTTGTCCACATTCTGTTTTCTTTTTGCATACCCATTCAGAACTTTTCTGTAGCTTTCCATACTATTAATGGATAAAGTTGGACTAATTCTGGTCTCACATATGTAGAGGATTTAGTCCATATGTTGTTAGAGGAAACCTTGAGCTGCATACCTGTTTGGAATTGGTGAGGTAGAGCTTGGCGGCCAGATTTAGGATCTGCAGCTTGACGATGTCTTCCTCGTTGGTGAACGACTTGGCCATCTTCCTCAAGACGTCCGGCGCGATCTTTGGCACGTGCTCGCAGTATTCTCCAATCAGCCACAGAATACTGGCTCGTGCCATCGGGACCTGAGGGAGCGCGCCAGACCGTGAGACCTACCTCTGTTTGTGGCGTCTGCAGGACTCCTAGCCATGGAGGCGGAAACGTGAAGGAGCAGCGCCTCACCTGGATGTTGTCTGTTAGTTTCGCCATGTGCTTGATGATGTCACTGTGCTTCTCTGGCTGCATCTGGAGCAACTTCTTGATGACGACCACCGACTCCGCCACCACCAGCTCTGTACGAGAAGACGAGTCAAACATTTGCATCAGTTTGTGAAAGTGCAGTGTGTTACAGTTCAGACCCTCATCAACTACCTTAGCATCCCGGAAAAGGAATCAGACCAGAGGTGACTTACTTACTAATACTCATCTACCAACCCTTAATAGGAGAGTATCTAATGTATTTACTTTGGATCAATATTATTAGCTTTTTGTTTTTTTGCTCTGTCTTTTGGTTTTTCATAAATAGAGCCGATTAAAATAAAATATTATTTCATGCACCTATCCCGTTTTCTACAAAATATTTACCAATTTTAAAGCTGGCTCTACTCTTACCATCTCGGTTAGACAGCAGCTGCACCAGGCCGTTCAAACACGTGTCTCTCACTTCTCCGATGTTAGTAGCGCAACGGCCGATAGCCTGAATTGTTGCAGCCACGAAATCTTTATCCATGCTTTTAATGTATGTCTGTCAGAAACACATAAACACGTTTGTTATTGTTGTGTTTCTGTTCACAGTATAGGTCAACAGAACTGAGGAATTAGTATAAAGCACATTTAATTCGACATGACCTGAAACTCCCTGAGAATAGTGGAAATGTTTGTCTCGTTGGCCAGATTGGTGAGAACCTCCAGCTGTGAAAAACAAGACGATGTCGGTGAAGTTCTAATAAACCTTCTGGGTTTAGCGGGTTGGACAGAACAGAACAGAGAGAAACCTTAAGGATTTTGATCTGGGTCGGGTCCGTGGAGCGGATGTAGAAACTCTTCAGGTATGGTTCGAACATGCCCTGCAATACACATACACAAACACACACCGAAAAAACTCCGCATAAATCTTTGAATTTAAAATGCAAAACAAAGACAGGCTTAGCATAATCTAACAAGTGTAACTTACCCGCCTTTTAATGGTCATGGTGGCCACATTCTGAAGAACGACGTACTGGACTTCACTGATGGAAGAAAAGAGAGATGGAAGGAACTGATGGAGGTCTTTCAGATTACAACGTCCAATTACTTCAAGGTGTCTTTCTGGACTAAATCACTGAAGTTACCACACTGGACATCCACAGTTAATAAACATTAGCAATGCTACTTAGCCAATTAGCATTGCTAATGTTTGGATTAGCTATGGATCAGTTGGCTAATTAGTTAGCAGAGATAAACCTAGCTTAGCACTTAGTAGTAATTAGTTAAGTAGCTAACTGCTAATTAGTTAGCAGGGCTAACTAACTAGAAATTAACATAAAATCATAAAATCCCAATATCTGAACACTTTATTGTGAGTTGTGTATGTAGGAAATGCAACAGAGTTTACAATATAGAAAAAACTTAGATTAAATTAGGATCAAACATTTCTGTGTTAGTTTGTAGGTCTGATACTGCACAGGGCGCCAACTACTGGAGAGGCAAGAAACACATTTAAAATACATTTCAAAATGAAAGAACCCTGTGTATTTAGCCTCTTCTTCATGCCTGAATTTATTATTTTAACCGTTAATTCATGTGGACTAGATAAGTGTGAACAGAGTGAGAGACTCTGTTCAGTTCTTTGTTCATTTCCATCATCTGCTCCTTTCACATACAAAAAAATGACGTCAGCCACTGTAAACGGTAAAATCTCTCTATTTAAACGATTAAACACCCAAGCTTTTATTATTTCTCTTTTATGTTTTCAATATATTTTGCAAACTAATCTGCTTGCTTATTTTTTCACAGAAAAATAATAAAGTGCATAGTTTTCTTCTCCCGTGTCTATATTAACTAGAAAGTAGTTGGCAGGTCAAAATATTGGAGTGCATCTTTATGGCTTGGTGAGAAACAAAGTTGCTTATCAGTAAACTCGGTGTTTAAGTTAATCAAATAATGCTACTGTAAACACTGTAAGTGCTGTGCAACCATATAACCTGTTTAGTTAATCCATAATCTCTGCTACATCATGAGCTACTCTTGATTGAAGCAGCATGTGCTGTACATCAACAGGTAAATCAAATATCTCTCCTAAACAAATACACAGAGGAAATATTAAATACATCAGTCTGCGTATGGAGGCTCTGAACTTCGATTTTTATTGCACCAATAAAATGACATTTAACCTATACTGGATGCAATCCCCGTGCCTCGCCCACACACACTTCGTTCATTGATCAAATCTGGGTTTTACATTTTTCACCTTTTACAACGAGTCACACTTTCTGTTTTCACCCAGACAGAACTGTGAAACAGCAGCCGTTAAATTGGATGACTTTCAGAACAAGTCTGTCTGAGGACGTTTTCACACGTCCGGTAGAATCGGTTCAATTGGGGATCAAAACTTTAACATTTGTTACTTTTTCAGTTGGTGTGGTTCACTTTCCTTCTAATGAACTGATTCAAACCTGTTTATGTCCTCACCTGTGGGGGGCGCTGTACCAAGAACCACTGATGTAAGCAAGACAAAAAACCTCTGAAGAAGACACTGAGCGCAACTTCCTTTTTCACAAAATGTGAACAAAATCTGACACATTTTCACAAAATGCGTTAGATTTTAGCCTATAAAGATCACAACCTTCTAACGTGTTTGTTTGGGTTGTATTTACCCAGAATGCTCTGCGCTACAGTCTGCTTCCAAACATGTGCCCGGATTTACTTTGAGTTGCGCGTTTCACACCGACCCAAACAAACTGGACTTTCTAGGAAAGTTTGTCAAGCACGATAAAAACCTTTTCTTCATGCAAATTTAGCCCACTTACACTTCACTGGAAATGCACTTAAAATATGCTTTTATTCCGAATATCAATAAGTCTTATCAAAACAAAACAAGCTAACATTAGCATAGCATGATAGCAAAAAGCTCACAATTGTCAAGATTTGAGATTTTTGTGAGCTTTAAGTGTCATAGCAGATATATCTATAGAAACAAGTCTGCACCAGTAGGAACTCCAGTTGGGACAAAATATCAGATGTACTTTAAACCCTCAGAGTTTTTAAGCATCTGCATTTGATGAAGAATTGCACTGGGACTCTGTCTTGCACACGTATCAAACTCAAGGCCTTTTATGTGGCCCTCAGAACTCTAAATTGCGTCAATAAGTCCTTCCAATTTTTCACAAATTTGCAAAATTCACACAAAATCAATAAATAACCACATTTTTTGTTGATTTTACTGAAATTTCTCAAAACTGGCCATAAACATTGAGTGTAAGTGACTGCTGCCTCGGCCTTAATTAATGTCAAGCAATAGTCCGTGATCAATGCAGCGATTAATAAAAAGTCATATTTAACTTTATACGTTAGCAGATGAATTGTAAAAAAAAATCCTAACAAATTTTTCTAAATTAGCGCCACAAAATCTGTGATCCTGGATACGGAATCAGTGTGAAAAGATGGTCAATATTATTTTATGTAAAGCACCGCTTACTGAATGCTGAAACAAACAGATGTAGAGATGTTTGAACAATTTAATGGGTTTTATCAACACATTCTGGAGCAACCGGCCCTTTAAGAACATTCAGATTTCTTATTTGGCCCAAAATGAAAATGAGTGTGGCACTCCTGTATTGGTTAAAATCTGTCTTTAAATGTATTTATGTCAAGGACAAGAAGAAAAAAACAGAAAGACCAGAGCACCATAAAAATATCCAGTCCATCTCTGAACTTTAAATATGTACTTTTGTATCTTTTCTGGTAAGAACCTTTATTTAATCCCTCTACAAGTTGCAGTGAAACCTGAGGCACACCACGCTCCACAGGACGGAGCTTAATAAAACTTATTGCCCAGTTCAGTGATTTTCTGACACATGGAGAGATGCTGCTGTTTGAATGATGATTCCATTAAACACAGAGCAGAGCCACTTGTTTAATAAGAGGCTTGACAGGCTACAGGACGTGCAGCCCAGAGGTGCTGAGCTGTCATCTCTCTGGTTTATGCTTTCGTGTTTACTTCAGCTTCACTGAGTCCCCTTGTTTAATATCCGTTTTCTGCTTTAGGACCTAACAGATTTATTCTCCCTCCCTGTCTTTGTCCTACTGCCGTTGTTTACAGCGTCACAGGGCTTTGTGGCGTTATTAAAGCTTTACTTTCCCTCATTGAGACTTTCATTGTGTTCTCCATGAGTCAGGTTTTTTTTACAGTGACTTGCAAACGCATTCGTGCGCCTTAAATCTTTTTAAATTTGGTAAATTTGGTTCAGTCCCTTTTTATTCAGATGTACCTAAATAAAGTCCAGCTCACCATTAAACACAATATTCCCACATGGCAACACTGGCTGTCTTTAGTAGTGTGAAATTTCCTACTGGCGCAGATTAAACATGGCGTCTATATACCGATTTCACATAAATAGTCATATGAAGTCTGGAGTTGATCTTTCATCTTGTCCACCATTCTGCAGTTTGGTTTCTTTAATAAATTGGCAAAAGCAGAATAAAGTATATCGGAGCAACGGCACAGAATATGTCCATGTTGTGGGGCTTTAAAATCCAGAAATACAAAAAAAGTAAAAATATATAAAAATAAAGATGATGAAAAGAAGGAAGGAGCTTTCGCACCTCTTAGTGTCTATCTGTGCACATCCATGGGTGTAACTACTTTGTTCATTTTGTTAAAATGTTGCATATTTAGTTCTTGGTAAGCGGATAAAAAAAAAAAAACAAATAAAAAAACAACAAAAAAAACCTATAAAATTATTTTTCTATTTTTATTAAAAGAGAAAAAATCCTTTTTTAATGGTGCTCGAGGGCTTCAGGTTTTGTCATTTTGCCCGTGTGGCAGAAATGCTTGAACACCGCTGGTTTAGATGGGAGCATATCCATGAGGTAAAATGGTCAATTCAAAAAGGCTCTTTATGGAATACGACTTTACAACGAACAGAACTTTTAGTCTTTTTCTGGTGGAGACACGGCCCAGAAAAGTTGCAGCTGCAATTTTCAAACAATGTGGTTTTACAAAACAAATTCACTGAACATTTACTTTTAAAAAAAAAACACATTTCCTTTCACTTAATAATTAGGACTACTTTGCATTGTTCCCAATAAAATACATAAAAACTCTTGGTTGGGAATGGTCTTGAATTGTGATGTTTATTTATAAGAAGCGACTGCCAACGACCAGCTTGACTACTTTTAGATCGTTCTGAAAGGAGAAATACAGAAAGCTCACCTGTGGCTCCTCAGCAGGCGGACCAACGCTTTGGCAATCACGCCAACTTCTGCTTTTGGGGCCAGGTGGAAATACAACTGGGCCACAGCCATCACCACCTGGAATTTGCATATTTGTCTTAGGAAAAAAATCAATCAATCAATAAGGCTTCAGTGGACTACAACAAGCCTTTTATAATAATTTGCCACTGTCAATTGTCAGCCGGTTAATTTCCTTCATTATAATTATGATCCATCTCTGTTTTTTTTATTTTTATTTACAGCCTTGTGTTGCAGTGCAGATGTGGAATGTGTTTGTGTTCACAAAGCCAATGTGTTAAACAAGGATGAGAGACAAATACGGTTCTGTTCTCCATTTACTGCGCTCAGACTACAGCAGAGAGCAAATAATCTGGCAGAGCATTTATTAAAAATGCCGCCGTTTGTTTTCATGTTTTGCTTCAACACAATACAGTCGATCAGAATGTTGGAAACAATTTAAAGCTCCATTACTGCGGTCGTAAGCTGCATGCGCAGCAACAGCGTGTGACAACACTTTGTGTGTATTACTGGAAGTCTGCTTGGGAATTAAATTTCTATGAGGTGAATGTCAATGAGCTAATCCTTAACATCATTAGCCATTAGCAGCTGGGAAGCATTTACAATAAATGGTGCCTCCTGTAGCTGGAAGCAGTGGAGTACAGCAAAGATGTGGGAACTGAAGGAATAACAATTACAAAGAGCTGCAGGGGGGAAAAAAAGAGATGAAAACATGTTCATCATGTTCCATCCAACTATGCAAATTGTTCACAAGTTCTTTGAATAAAAATAATCTCAGATTGAATGACCTCCTCAAAGACCTTAAAGATGCTTTTGTGGTGAATTATTGACAACGTGATAATTCACTTTAAATATGCAGTATGTAACTTTTATCATAAAAAACATGTTTTTCACATACTTGTTAAAATTGTCACCATGTCGTGACAGCAAAACATGAGACAGCTTATAGGTGAATGAAATCGAACTTCTACCGTCATTGGCAGAAATGCAGCGTTCCCAGCCAGAAACAACCAATCAGAGCAAGGAGGAGGGCTCTAGAGCTGTCAATCATCCCTGTGTATGTGCTGCTCATTGTAATATTGGGAAAGAAACAACTCATCGTTGCTGAAAATCTGAACAACTGCAGTCATCAGTGGCTATGCTAATCAGCCTTAGCATTCAATGCAGGTTCTGCTAAACTAGCTGTAGCCTAGCATAGGGGTGAGCAGCATATACCCAGGTTTAACTGACAAAGAGGAGGCAAAGAAGCAAATTTTTTTTTCACAGATTATCTCATATTATACTTCAACAACAATGGAAACAATAAAACTGTACTGTTCATAACAGCTACATACTGCAGATAGTGGGCATTCAGGGTTTGTACCATGACTCCAGAGCGATGCTTAAGGTCTGGCCTGCTTTATGCTAACGTGCAGCGTGTGTGCAGCGTGTGTGCAGTGTGTGTGCAGCGTGTGTGCAGCGTGTGCGCAGCGTGTGTCTCACGGCTGCGTTCCGGCTCTGCAGCAGCGGCTTGGTGTTCCTCAGCAGCAGCCGGTGGTCGGGGTCCATCACGTAGGGCTTCCTCTTGGCCAAGGCGGCCGCCTCTGCTTTCTTCTCCTTCTCCTCCTCGTCCTCATCCTCGTCTTCATCCGAGCCGTAGAAGGTTTTCTCTCCGCCTCCTCCCTCCTCCAGCAGAGACTCCTGCAGTGAGTGGGGAGTGCGTTTGTGGTCAGCTGTCAAAAATGATAAACTAAGCATTGAAAGATAACAGGAAAAAACTCATTTCCTGACTGATTTCTTTAGATTTTTTTGTTACACAAAACCCCCCACAAAATGACATTTTCAAAATTATTTATTAAGAGGGGAAAAAAAGATCCAAAACCTATTAAGTAGTTGTTGCACTGTTTTGGTGCCAACAATCAAGCATTTCAATATCTAGGAATTCATTTTTCAGCCTGAGATGTGACATTGTGACTTCATAAATATGAGTAATGCTGTTTTCTTTTGACTAGCCCATTTCCTGTTGTCCGAAATGGGCTGAAAGTAACTGACCTTTGGAATAAAATCTGTAATGTGTTACATTGTTACATAACAGTAGTGAGAATGCATTAAGTAACAAAGGGGCAATTACTATTATTAATTTATTTAGAGCCAGGTTTGTTTGGACAACATTTTTATCTCACTTTTTCTTTTAACTCTGTTCTATTTTCTTTGGTTATCTTTGATATTTTTATGATACTAAAGCAGACTGCATGTGAAAGAAAGCAAATAGTTTATCAAGGGATCGTAGATGCAAAAAGCGCCAATTTTTCAAAATGCAATTATTCATCAGAATAACCAATAGTCTCTCAGTCCAGCATACTAAAATAAAAACATTTCACAAATTTTTCAGCTTTTCATTGTCGACCTGATTATATTAGGACCAAAAAATGTAATAAGCTTAGAGAAATGATCAATAGAGGTAACCATAAATTGTAAAATAGATTTTCTTTAAGTCAAAACTAAAAAAGAATCAACGAGAAGTGAAAATTGAGGTTCAAAATTCCTCACGTGTCTGTTTTCTTACTCACGTTGATGTTTGGGTTGAGGAACTGGGTCCTGGCGTAGCGGGTCAACATGTTGATGATGACGACCTGGCCCCACTCCTCCACATCGATAAGCAGGTTGCACAGCTTCCTGTAGTTCTTGTGGATCAGGTCGATGCGCTCCGGACACACCTCTTCGAACGCCATGACGACACTTCCTGCCACCAGCTGGAGCACATTGTGAGTCAGGCGGCAGCTGATTGCGTTACGATTACTTTCCTGAACACCGACTGACCAGAAAGTCGTCCGGCTAGAATCTGCGATCAAGTGTTTTGCTTGGATTTGCTAAAACAAGAGTTTTTTTTTTTGTTCTCTTCTTTATTTCTATCTATTTGTGGGAGCTGAGCACAAATGTCCAACAAAACAAACAAGGCAGAAAACCAAACGCTTACCGTGGTTTTGTCTGCCAGGAGTTTCTCTATGACTTCTATGAGCTGGTCTTTTTGTTCAGGGTCCAAACTAAGACGAGAAAAAAAAGACAACAATGGTTAGTGAGAAACTTCCCGTATCGACCGAATCTGGCTGAAGTGTAAAAACCACGAATGGATTTCGTCGGCGGCTCAGCAGCCGGTTTCTGTCTTCCCACACTAACGAGGTTTGATTCATGATTGTTTCTCCGGGCGTACCTGTAGAGCTTGGGGATGGCGTGGGCAGCGGTCTTCCTGACGTATGGAGACATGTCTGAAGCAGCTTCTTTGATGGCCAGCATCATAATGGGGACGATGATTGTAACTCGTATGCTGGACAGAACTCGCAGGGCGCTGGCTCTGATGAGCTGATTGGGATCCTGTCATTTAAAGACGTTTGTGGCAACATCAGTTCAATTAAAATAGTGCTATTCATGAGATCAGGAATTTATTTAAGATTGCTCAAGTGTTAAAGGTGCTAACCACCCTTCAATGTTAATTTAGTTTTCCTGATTCTTTAAATGTTACCTATTATGCTTCCTTCAGCAGATTAGGGTCGGCTTATGGTTTATACAGAGCATGTTCGTTACATTTTTTTGCACAAAGTCATTATTTTTATTACTTTGTGCAACTTTAATCCTCAGAGTTTCTTTCATAATGACCTGTTTTAGAGCCTCCTGTCACTTTGAACCCAAACAAGCTGCTTCTACCCACCCAACGTTTACATGGCTGTAAACAGATGGCAATTATACAACCGCACATGTTTGAAAAGCAGAAGGAGAGCTTCCTGCACAGCAAACTGGAATGCAGCAAGTGGTTTCTGGATAATAAGTCAATAGCCAAGATCTTGTCTTTTTCAGCAGCCATTGTACAGCACATGCAGCGCTAAAACCAGCTGGAGCTCCGCTTGGGTTGTTAGATAAGCAAGTTTTGGAAATGGCTAATTTTCTAGACACCAAAAATCATGAACTTATTGCCATAAATTGGCTTGGACTTCGATGTTTCTAGAAGCAGTTGAGATGTAAATGGGCACCAAAAACGTGAAACAGAGTGAATTCTGCATAATAGGTACCCTTTAAAAATGTGATGCGTATTGTTCAATTTGGATCCAGAACAAGGACAGGAACAGGGAAAATCATGACAAAGGAACTACTTCTCCACTGCTTCCCCACTTAGTCACGGGGAACATCAAGGCTCCACATTAAGACCCACACCGTTCCCGTTATGCTTCAGGTTTTAAAAAGCATTACATTGGCTCAACTGCTGAAGACCCATATATCAATATACTTATTCCCTTTTTAATGCTTTTGTTTACACATTTCAGCTACAAAAAATGTCCTGGATGGGAAAACGCCACAAACAACAAAAAACATCGCTAAATGATGTATGTGGCTAGTTCACGCTCACAGCATCCTGTCAACATGACAGGAACATCGAAGGTACCTTTAAGCCACGCTGGAAGGTAGAAATTGAGAGCAGGGCGAGGTCTTGCTGCTCCTCGGCGTAACGCACCAAGTAAACATAGACCAGCTTCTTCACCTGAAATCAGCAGGAAGGAAGATGGAAGCAAACCGTTCAGGCAAACTTGGAAAGGAAAGCCGCAAACTGAATCCACTGAGATAAAATCAAAGCACCGGGAGTCTTTCTAAAACACGATGACGGAAGAAGCAGAAACTCGCGAGCCTGGAAAATTAAAGATGAAAAAACGAGATACAAAGAGCCTCTTTCTTTTTCAACACAAACCAAAGAAAACAGAGGCCAAACTAGCACAACCTACCTCAATGTTTTTACACGCCACATTTTTCACCACAGCTGGGAAGAGGTCTGATGCATTTTTACCACGGGCGATCATCTGGAGAGAGAACAAGAATTTGAAAGGATTAAACCCTTTTTAAGAAACAGGACAAAGTGCAGTACATATAAAAACTGTTAGACCGTTTCTGTTAGCATAAGCACTAGATTGATGCCATTGGCTCATTGGGAGCTCTTCAAATCACATTCAACGTTCTGGATCTGGATCCATGTGATTGACAGCAGTAGAGCAACCTTTGTTATTGCAGAAAAAACTCAAAATCTCCCCATCCCGAATTACATCCACAAACACTAACAAGAAAAAAATATAAATATGGAAAAGCAAACAAAATTTGTTTATTTTTCCATGATGTCTCTGTTGATGCTTGCTAACGTACTTTCATCTTCCTGCAGTGGTGATGAGTGAACAGATGGGTGTGGCGTTTCAGATTAAGGAAAACTGACTCAGATCATGAATTATTAACATCTGACTGCACAGTTTGGATCTGTTAACATCTTAGTTACATCGTGACAGCCGACCGCTGTCTTACTGCTCCAAAAGACCAAGAACATTGCCAGTCAATGCAACGGTAGGAATTAGAGGAGGGTGATACAGCACATTTTGGTATCGATACAATATCAAGTAAATACAGGGCCCACATCGCCAATACCAATACCGATACTGATATGACACTTTTTTCTTTTTAAGTTTGATATATTCTCAAACTTCTCATCTTAAGATATTTTTTTGTTTTTTTTCCCTTTGAATTATGTCATTCAAAGCCAGGCCAGAATTGGGATAAAGTTTACAAAATACTTTGGCGTGATTTGTGTGCATTTTCTTTTATAAATAAATGACATGCAAAACATTAAGAATTTGATCAAAACAATTTTTTTTTTGAAGTAGAACTGAGAAACTACAATACGGAAATAAATGTTAAAAATTTCAAGAGGGAATCTGAAGCTAAAGTATCGAGCATTGATCTGAAACCGACGCGGTATCGATATGTTGGTGATATTTGGCTTGCATCCACCTCTCGTAATGACAGCGCACTTTTTTTTTTCACATCACACACCCAAAATTGCTGATCCGCAAAATTCCAAAGTAAACATTAAACCCACTCACAGCCACAATCCGCTTCATTGCCTCCAGCTTCAGGGAGTCTTTGTTGCTGTCCAGCATCTCCTTCAAGTCGTCATGCCTGTGAGGAGGAAACATGCAGGGTTAGCTCACAGCACAGCTTTATGTCAAAAGAGCGCGAGAAATGCTCTCGTTTTCAGGCTCGTTTTTAACTTTGGATTGACGGCTCAGGATATTTCGCAATGTCTTAGTGTGACCTAGAAAGGTTTCCCTTTGAAGTGAGAAATTTGGTTTGCAAACTACATAAACCTGTGATACTGCAGCAGGCGAGAGCAGAGCCGCATAATCCCTGAGAAAATGTTGACTTTTTGTTGACTCCTGATGGTTTTGTAGAAGAAAACGGTTTGCTTTAGTAAAGTGTTAATCCAGATTAACAAATAGTCAGGGTGATTGATGCCCAGTTGTCCAGTATGTGGTTATAGTTAACAAAAGCAGATATGAACTGTTTCATATCCACAGTTGATTCCTACTTCCCCCCCTGTACTAAACTGGGGAAATAGCTGTATTTACAACACAACGGCAAGAAATTGAACCTTGTTTTAAATCAATAATTCCTTAATATGGATGAAAAAAGTCACAAATTTCACTGATGGATTATTTTTTCTTCTGTCAAGCTATGTGTAAAAAACACTTGCCACTTTAACTAGTACTTAATGTTTAAAAGTATTAGTACAGTCTGTGGTTGGTCATTGAATCTTTAGGGCATGAAGTGCAACATTCCTGAAAAACAACCATACTTAAAAGCGCAATGTTTTGTTTTGGGGGGTTTTTCATCAAGCTGCTACTTTTCAACCCTATTTTTTGCAGCACCTCAGTAGTTTTTGGTTGACAAGTTGTCACTGCTCCACCATTTGGTTGGCCGCAACTCAGGTGAAACTTAACCGCTTGCAGTACATCTTACCTCCCTAACCGGACTCTGTGTGGACCGTTTCTCTTTCCCATTCTCCCGCCATATTTGTTCCTGTGTCAGCTGGCTCCCCTTATGGATGACCAGCGGCGCCCTCTGCTGGGTGGCCCCCAAACTACAGTACTTAAAAAAAAGGTCTTTCTTGAATCAGTTGAAACTAATTCTAATCTATACAAACGATATTAGCGGGTTAATTGTTTGCATCCCTAATCTGAAGACCCCTCACACATTTCTATCTTTCATTTCTGTCAGGCACGACAAGAACAACCCCCCTCCCGCAAAAAAACACAAGTACCCCTGAGCGACTGCTCCACCCTGCAGCCATAAGAGCTGCATCAAACAACTCTGGTGGCTTCTGCCACACCTGCTGGGCGGGAAAAAAGGCAAACAGCGGTCACACAAAGGCTGCCGCTTGCTGACAGCATGAGCAAGGAAAACACAAATGGATGACTGTATCCCAGGGTTTGTCTGCTTTACCGATAAGCGCTCAGATGTTTCAAACTCTCACAGTAGATAACTTGCAGACGGTTTTACTGAGCAGAAAACCCCCTGCCCCCCGATCTGTTCAGTCGCTTTCGTTGAGTCCACCCCACCCCAATCGGTTCCCAAGGATGCAACAAAATGTGGTTAAGTGATTTCCTGCCTCCCTGCAGAGAAAGCTTTGATTCATGCTGCTATACTGCAGGTGCCAGATGGAGGATGGAAGCACATGCTTTCCCCTCAACGCGAATGTAAATATTTGTGCTCAATCAAAAACCACAAACACACATGCACAAAAAAAAAAAAAAATAAATTCTGCGCTATTAATCCAGGCGGAGTGCGTAACCTTTGTCAAATATAAAATAATGTTCATACAGAACGAAAAATAATGTGTCTGAGCCTTCTTGCATTCATAGATAAAGCATCTGGAACAGACATGAAATGGTCACATTCTAACAGCTCTTCTTCTTCCTTCCTCTCCTTTTTAGAGCGAAGATAGAAATAACTATTCAGACGAAATGATCAATCCGAAGCCAGGATCTTTGAATTTCGTCTGACTTCTGAGCTGGGAGGGGGAGCGATGGGTTATTCAATACAGCCCCATCTGCTCCAGTGGCGTGACATCAGCGAGTGGAGACCTGTGAGGACGTGGCCGCTGCAGATCGTCACCACTTCACGCTGAGCTGGAGGTGCAAACCAGTGCGACGTCTCTGCTGCTTCAACGTGTCCCCAGCATCACAGCGTTATAATCGTGTACAGTGGTTCCTTCTGTCAGGCACTTCAAACACTAAACCCTTCAAAACTCATAAAAAAAAGAAAAGATAAAACAAAAAACAGTGAAGGGTATTTTTAGATAAGAGCCTTGAACTGAGGCTGTGGCTAAAAAAGAGAGAGAACATTTTCAATATGACGTGACAAATTTAGCTCCCCCAAAACATTCAGAGGACATGAAAATGGGTGAATCTAATCCTGGTTAGCGGAGCACAGATCCTCTCCCCACGGCTTCGGTATTCAGAACTATTCTAACGATATTTGTTCTGCTGAGCCGGTTCTGGAACGGTTCGCTGCCTGTGGCGTCAGCTGAAGGATGAGTATTTCTGCAAGTGATGACAACGATGCAATCAAAACAACGTCTTAGCTGGGTTTTGTTTTGTTTGTTTATCCGCATGCATCAGTTCAAGAGTGAAGGACTCGACTGTTGAGCCTCGATTAAGTAAAGCGAGGGTCGTCACGGTCGCCTGGCTTTTCAGCTTAAGACGACATCAAAAATGAAGGTCTTTGTTCCTGAATAGGCCTTTTTGACACCATAACAAAATCCACTGGGCTATGAGATATTGCGACAAACCACAAATCTTAAAAATACACTTTTTAAGATGAACATAAGACACTTTAGGGCCTTAATTTTTAGATACACGAACTTGAGACCTTTTAAGGATGACAAAATGAATCAACAACGTTTATTCACTGAAAAACAGCAAAAGTTATGAGGGGATTGCCTCGATATTTAAACTTTAAATGGTTAATAGGTGAAAGAGAAAAGCTGAAACACTCGCTAGCACCTGTTATTACTTTCAAAGCAATGTGCTGCAAAATCTGTTGGTGAATGTTTAGTCCACAGTCACCTGGAAATTTGCGTTGTAATATGTCAGGTGAAGAGACATCAACAAGTCACATCCCAACAGAAAGCGAAGATGCCAACCTGTAGCACAAAACGCAAGTTTTCTGCATTAAAATATCAGCAGCAAGACTGCAGCTTACCGAAAACTGTACATGAAGAGTCCAGTCTGCACTGAAAAAAATAAGTCATTGGATGAACATAAAAAAATTATGGAAAGGATTTCCACCTGATTACTTTGCTTTATTTCAGCACCATGTACTTGTGTTACTCCTATTTAAAGCAAATGTGTTAGGTAAACCTAATTTATTAAGATTATTCCAATGTAAAGCAAATGTGTTGGCTCAACTTGTTACAATGGTGATTCAATGGGTGATTCTAAATCAAACATGTTGGCTCAACGTAATATATTGTGGTTATTCTTATATAAATAAAATGAGTTGGCAAAACATAATTCATTAAGGTTGTTCTAATTTAAACCAAATATGTTGGCTTAACCAGAATTATGGTAAGGCAATGGATGATTGTAAATCAAATGAGTTGGCTCAACTCCATTCATTAAGGTTATTCAAATTCAAATGAAATGTGTTGGCTCAACATATGTTTTAAAGGTTCCTTTAACTCAGTTACTATAGCGTGACCCAGTGTAATGCAATACAGCCCGCCCAACTAATCTGCAATGTTTAGGACCAAATCATTGATGTGACTTCATTAAGATGATATAAATCTAGTTGAAACCACCTTATTTTACAGTGGTACCTTCACACTACCTGATTCAGTAGGTCCAACTCACTAAAAGCAAGTTAGCTCAACAAATATGCTTCATGCTAAAAGACAGCTAGTTAATCGTGTGGAAATCCTTTCCATTATTTCATGACGTTAATTCAAAGACATATTTTCAAGTGTTAATCAAGCATTTTAAGATAGCACTAGGTGAAAGTGTAGGAAGAACACTCAACAATTAGAAAAGGTACAACACAATTGTATTTTCAGAATTGTTATACATCGTTTTTTTACACAGCACAAAACACAGCTGAGTTGGACATTGAAATAAAAAAACAACTACAAAAAGGTTACAGTTTCATTTCCCAGCCAATTCTTTACAACATAAAACATGTCAGTATAGTTGCTCAACTTAGAGAACTGTAACAATATAAATCTTTTCTACTGCAGACTTTAAACACTCATTTTCCATATGAAACTTTACTCAACTGAGCGGCGAGTTTCATATTGAGAACTTGTGCTTTCTTTGATAAGTTCTTTCCATCCAATTTCATTATTATTTCCTGTATTACTTCAAAGGTATGCTTGAGTTACTGAGCAAGTTGAGTGCTGAACGCACTAAACTTGAGGGTAGCTCAAGTTTAGTGCATAGATTAGTCCCAGCAGCATCACTATTGCAGAAGATACACTGCCCAAGCTGTTCATAACTTCCACCTCCTCCAGGACAATCCCAACATCCAGATGTGCATCGGCAGCCTCTGCACCCTCTGCTCAAATGACGATTCCGAGGACAGCCTCGGCTTTGGCCATTTCTGCGCATTCATCAACGTCCTAAGGGAGTTAGGGAAGGGTATTGGGGGAGAGACAATTCACATGTAATTAAATAAATAAATTAAGACTGACATTGATTGAGTCACTCATGGACCTTAGTTGGTGAAAGTATTTTAACAACTATTAGGAGTTCTATTGTAAACACAAAGAGAATTTAACATACCATGTACTCCCTCACCAGCTTCTCTGGATCTTCATTTAGGTACACACACAGACCTTTGAGGATGCACTCTCGTCTGACCTAAGCAGTGTCTTCCTAAATATGCAGATCAAAAAACAATGAGAACAATCTCAAAACTCCAGCAGTATAAGTTCACACACTTGAAAACATAGCTGCATTCAAAGGAAGTGACAACAAAAGTGATCAGTGGCTTGCAGTCTGTTTGAAAGATATTTAAAATTGTTAGTATCCCTTCATTATGCCATGACTAAAATGGAGTTTAACATCTCATTTAAACATCTAACTGAAGCTGTTAGAGGTTTAAATAAAGACATGAATATATCACCAAAGAAATATGTGAAAAGTACAGAATGGTCAACACAGTCTATATCCTTCTACTTAAATGAATATGCAAAGCATTCCATGTCTTACAAGTACATGGACAGTCTATGTGTGGGCATGGATAACGTCGCATATGCCGGTGTTTAAGTGTAAAATGTTTTAACAGGTCATATCTACGAGACAGAGAGAGACTACACTCCTTACATTTCCACATCCCCACGCAAATAAAGACAAATAAAACAGACTGGCCAAATAAATGTTTAGCTGAACTCTAGCTCTATAAGCTCTCTAACACTACATTCAGTCACTTTAGATCTGGCAAAACTTACTATTAGCCACTGAAATCTATAACTTGATAGCCGATGAGCCCCTTGACCAGTACTTACGCAGGTGGATTACAGACAGGTGATCAGGTGATGTTCTGAAAGAGATCAGATATATTATCAGCCATTAAAATATGCAATTCATACTGAACTGAGTTGTATCTTTTAGTACAAGTCCCTTGAATGCCTCATGAATATAACCACTGGACACTTGTATGCAAGCACATATGTGCAGAACAATGGTGAATTGAACATGGTAGAAAGCAATAGTAACAAAGGTCAAAATGAGCACAAACAATCAACACAAAAAACATCAACATTTCAAAATTAAACCAATGAACTTCAATATTGTTTCTGAGCTACAATTATTTGGGGACAACAAAGAAGAGTCCAAAAAACCCCAACATCTTTACAGCAGAGGAATATGTATTTTAAAGAAAAAAAATAGAAAGCTCAAGTCTGTAATAATGGATAATCCATTGAGAGTTTTAGCCTGACAAAATATACTAGAAATCCATAACTAACAGGTATTTTAGGAACATTTAACAAAGCTCAGAAAGCAATGCTTTCTGCAGGTTTCACCGACTGAAATGTAGGACTTTTTATACCATAATTAATTAAGAATCTCGATGATGATAGAAAGGTACCAAAGTGTGTGTGTGTGTATCTACATTTACCTCCATAGTAACATTACTGAAATAGAATTAAAATAGTTAGAAATAGACTGATGTTAGATCAGTGTGTTAAAAATCCACTAAACCTCCAGGGAGCTCAGGAGGAACAAAACTGTGACATTTCCGGGGTCCATTTGTGTCTCTGGCAGCAGCTTTGTGACCCTTACACTACATATGGCTCTGCAGACTTTTTTCGCACAAAATGTACCTAACATGGTGCGGCGATAAATGTAAACAAAATGCTATCTGCCTTAACCTAACCGACTTAATCTACAGAACATGAAATAATGTGACACAAGTATGGAACAAGTAGAAAATGGTGCAAATGGTAGAGAAATTTTAAGTTACATATTTTTATATGGATTTAGATGAAAATAGTTTGACTCTTACCTTCTTCAAATTAAGTAGATGCACGCCAGGAATCTCCCCTCTGCCCTTGAAAAAACCCAACAAGGTGCAAGCCAGTTATCTCGCGTGATTTTCCGTAATCTCTTGATGTCGCTGGATCCTCTTCAGCGGGAGATGAGTCTGACACAATAGCGCTTTGGAACTGACGTCACTGTGTTTTTTTTTTATTAGATTAACTTTGACAAATATTGATATTGAATAAAATAAAAAAAAAACATATATATATGTTTTTTAAAAAAAACAAACATATATATATATATATATATATATATATATATATATATATATATATATATATATATATATATATATATATATATGTTTTATTTTATTTTATTCAATATCAATATTTGTCAAAGTTAATCTAATAAAAAAAAAAATATATATATATATATGTATATATATATATATATATATGTCTTGGCACAGCCAAGATACTGCGCAATACCCTCAAGCTCCCAGGCCTCTGGTAGAGGCCTGGGAGCTTGAGGAATTAGATGTATTCAAGTTGAGATAACGTCATTCAATCACGTTAGTTCAGTTGAGAGAAAAAACCGATTGTCTCGCGTGTTCTCGCGTGATATCCCGTGATCTCACTCGTTGTCGTCAGCACAACATCAGTCTAACTATAATGAATCATGTTAGCTCAACATGATTCAATTTTATAAATGTGAAGTCGTGGAATATCTTGTTTATCCAACATGATTTTATCACGTTTTCGCTTCAAACCCAACATTATTGTGTGAAAGGTACATGATATTTTTTTGTTAATGTAATACGCCCCGACGTTCTTTTTTTTTTGGCGGAAGATCTAGCTGACGTAATTGAATCACGTTATCTCACCTTGAATACATTTTATTCCATTTGCGAGAAAAAACCGATTGTCTCGCGTATTCTCGCGTGATATCCCGTGATTTCCCGTAATCTTGCGTGAACTTGCGTGATATCGCGTGATCTCACTCGTGGTCTTCAGCATAGGGTCTGACTATAATGAATCATGTTCGCTCAACATGATTCAATTTTATAAACGTTGAAGTTGTGGAATATCTTGTTTATGCAACATGATTGTATCATGTTTTTGGCTCAAACATGCAATTATTTAGTTAACAGTACATGATATTCTTTTGTTAATGTGATAACCCCTGAGGTTCCTTTTTTACAGTGTGGGTACGGTGCAAGTCAGAAACTCAAGCAAATTCAGTGCATTTGATTTCAAAGTAAAATCCAACTTAATTGAAAATAAAAAAAATAAATTCTATTCTTAAATTACTCAAATCAGTATCTGGTGGAGGGGAATCCTGATTAGAACCTCATAACAAAAGCTATTAGCAGAGAAATAAACAGGAAATCATTAAAGTCTCACGGCCATGTGATTAGGGTCATAAACATCGACATCAATATTCCAACCAGGAACAGAGCAAGCCTCATAATGCAACCTGATTACGGGTTGGATACCACAGGGAGGAGTTAATCCGAAAATTCGGGAAATCCTTTTCATGTTCTTGCATCCCAGCATGCAACAGGAGAGAAGGCTGGAAGGCTTGATTTGCTTTTCACGGCTTACGATGATAAAGCATCCTAATCGGCCTCTCTAATTAATAATGTGACAGGGATACACGTGGCAAACAAGCCCACGAAAGCCTAATTAAAATTAAACACGGAAATGTTTAATTACGTCGAAGTAGATCGAAAAGTTTGTAGCAGTGGACGCCAAACGTGCAAAGCACAACCTGATAGAGATGACTGACAGCAGACATGTTTGCCATCAGTCGAGAATGCTGGGATATATGACGTTTTTCTTTTCTTTCTTTTTTCTTTTTTTTTACAAAACCCGTTTTCCATCTCTCCAGAAACTCAACACCGACATTACTTCTCCAATTTCACTAGATTTATTTCTTTATTTCTTTATTTTTTGCTGCTCCCTGCCCAGTGACAGCTGAATTTACAACACCTGTGAATTATTTAACCTGCTGCGGCCCAACGGAGCGCGCGGCCGCTCCGGTTACCCGGGACAAGAAGCCAAGAGATCAGCTGGACGGTATCCATGAAGGTAAGGCGGCACGTCAGGCGTGGTGTCGGCTTGCTGCCCCGGGAAGCGACAGCGGCGACATGAAAAGGAGACGATAAGAAAGGGAATTCATCAGAATCGGCTTCAAGTGAACGACGGAGGGGGGCTGCGGCCCTTACGATTCGGAAGGGCCAGGAACGAGAGTGACGGATCGAGGCCAGCTCCGAAAGTGATGCTCTGATTTCATGACATTTTGAAACAAGTTGACCGAAGGTGGCAGCTATAAACACGGAACTGGCGATTAGGCGCCAGCGATTCTGAGGACAAACTCCTTGCAGCAGCCTCGGCTTTTCAAAAACAGCCAATTGAAAAGGCTGTTCATCCCCTCCAAAATACACGAAGGTTGAAGAGCGATTCTTTCACCTGATTTTGTTTTCTTTAGGTTCCTGTGGACGAGTAGCTAATTCCGCTTTGTGTCAGCGTCCAGCGTTTTGTTTAAGGAAGCCATCTGCAGATGCAACAGTTTCAGCTTAAAGAGCAACTTCAGCTGAAGCAAGAACCTTTATGGTTCTCAGACTGTGTGGTACAAGTGCCACTGGTTTTAAGTGTGGTGCCTTCAATGGGAGTTGGAACAACCATTCCCATGCAAATTCAAAGCTAATCTTTCTGATAAAGAGTCAAAGGGATGCATTTGAGCAAACTGATATTTGCCTGGAAAAGAAGCTACTAAAGGTATAGTGGAGGACATCTGAAGAACGCCCAGCAGAAACTGAACTGCTCACCAAGTTCACTAATATGGTTTATGCAGTACAGAGTCTAACAAACTGTCAGAAGGTCAAATAAACAGTTTATTACTTCAGTTTTCACTGTTTTAAACATGAGGCAGCCACATTGGATTCTTGTTGAGGATGATGAGAAATGTCCAACGTGGACAATAGAGTATCAGTAGATCTCTGATTATTTTCTTTCCACCGGTAAGATCGGAAATTTCAATTTTTTACCATTTTGCTCTGCATTCAAGCTAATATTAGCTGATGAATTAGTCGGGTTGTCTGCTCCTGCAGTCAGCTTTCGGTTAGCTACTCCACAGACATTAGCTTAACAATTTGCAGCGTCTGTAAAACATTAGGGACCCAGCGTTGTGGAAACTTGGGCCGAGATCTACGTCCGAATTTCAAATTGCGTCATTGCTGAAAACCGTGATTTACAGATAAGTCATATAGCATCACTATTTCACTACCTTTTTCACATCTTAAACAAACCGTCTCTGCTTCAGCTAAACTCCCCACAATCCTTTTTTTCTGCATCACTATCACATGACCAGACAGACACCGGTTTTTAAGACGATCTTCCTCCACTTCTCTTCCAGAAACATGACAACAAGATGGAACTAAATATTGGCTAATATTTAAACCCGAAATTATTTATTGGACCAATACGGATATGTTTATAAAACGACCAATATCGACAGATGCAGACATTTCGCAGCGCATTACAGATCAGCCCTTCGTCGCGACTCCCCCACTCAACTCCTTCAGACTAGCCAGGAACACTTAGCAAACACCTGGTGGAACTGAGCATCTGCTGGGCTAACAGAGGAGATGCTAATCAGATCAGCGAAACGCTGATAAAAACATTGTTAAAGGGATAACAGAGGAGATATGTTGTGATGACTTCCTGAAGGCGGAGCTTCAGAAACAGCAGGAGTTTTTAAAGAGACAGAGGCCCAATTTCAAGACGTTGAATGACAAGTCAAATTTCTTTAAAGTGATATTTGGTATATATAGTATTTTTAAAACAACTGAAGGTAAAAGTTTGATAGCTCAGTTACTTGACTCTGCAATAAAGTGGCACTATGTGCCTGGAAAACACATAATACTGCCCCTTTAAATAATAGAAAAGGACTAACACAGTTTAGCTTTGGTAAACCCTGATACCTAGTTAAAAACTTTTGCTATTTACTGATTTGGTACTTGTCACAGAAAGTTTAAGAACTGGGTAAGAAGACTATCCAGATGTCGTCCCTGCAAAACATGTGAAAACAAAGATTCTGACCGATCAATGGAAGAAGAAAAAAAACCCTCGTAGAATATAAAGTGCAACCAAGCGGTCATGGAGTTTCTTTCAGTGTCATCTGCTTTGGCTATGAGGCGCCGGTAGACCTGAAGAGGCGAGCACCACCAGCAGGTGTGAGTGATCGTACCGCAGGGGCTGACTTTGGAAGCTTCCACCTCCGTCCTCCTGTGAGCCTCGTTCCTCCTGGTCTCCTCCGCCTCCACCACCTCCTCCGCCGCCCCCAGTGCCCCCAGACCGGAGGTGGCGCAGCTCATCCGGCTGGAGGGCACTGTACCAAGTCTGCTGCCCGCTGTCGGGGCTCAACACGGGGCTCTTGTCCTCCTCCTGGCCCTGGACCTGACTCTGCACCGTCTTCACAATGTTCACGGCATTCACGGGCAGCTGGAGCAACCTCTGCATAGTGGTCATCTTTAAGGAAAATTAATTAATAGAATGTGAATTTCAACCTGTAGAACTGTAGAGAAAGGCTGCAGCACTTTCTTCTTTTTTTTTTTTTTACTGGGAATTGCTCAAAGATCCTCCTTGAGTAGTTCGTCTGGGGTCAGACACATCCAGTTGGCACAATAAAAAGAAAGAAAAGAGAAAAAGATCCTTCCAAAATGTCCTGAATGCGTCCAACTCTTCTCTGCTCACCGGTTCAACTCGAGCTCAACAGCAAACTCAGTGCCTCTTTTTTAAAAACTATTATTCCCTTCTGTTCAGAGCAGCAGCAGCAGCAACATCAGCTGCTCTGTAAATGGATGCTCGGCTCGGCAGGGAGGGGCGTGGACTTTTATCTCTCCTCGCGCGGCTCCTCCCTGCTCATGTGGTTCCTGTTGCAGCACCAGCCTCTCTGCACGCGCGCACACACACGCACACAGACACCCACGCACACGCACAACGCCCCCCGCCCCCCACACACACCAAGGTCTCCCGTAATGCCATTATCTCTCTTGTTCACTTTGCCACGCTGTCACCTCCTCTTCACTTGCAAAACAGGCATTTCTCTCTTCGCAACATTTCTGTTTTTTTATTTATCATTATTTGTATAGATATTCCTAATTTATTTACATTTTTCTTTTCTTTTTTTTTTAAATAAACCTCTGCTATCTCATTCATTTTTAAAAAATATATCCTGAACGGCCCTGATTTATTTATTTATTTATTACCTCGGCTTAAATGACTCAGCTTTCTTGGCGGTGTCGTGATGAAAACGTCCCTCTCTCTCTCTGTTTCTCTCTCTCTCTCTCTCTCTTTCTCTGTTTCTCTCTCTCTCTGTTTCTCTCTCTCTCTCTGTCTCTCTCTCTCTCTCTGTTTCTCTCTCTCTCTCTGTTTCTCTCTCTCTCTCTGTTTCTCTCTCTCTCTCTCTCTCTGTTTCTCTCTCTCTCTCTGTCTCTGTCTCTCTGTCTCTCTCTATTTCGTTCCCTCTCCCTCTCGTTTCCTCCCGGCTCGAACCAAAAAAAACGAAGAAAAAAGAAAGAAGCTGCCTTGAAGCGCAGTTCGCATATGGTCGCCCTGTCATCTGTGAACAGATCAGCTGGGATGTGTTGACATGTTGTTAATTCTGCCCCCTCCTTTAACCCGCGATGCGCCGCTGCTGCATCTGCAATAAATCAGTCCGACAGCTCAGAGCTTTGAAGCCACCAGTCCCACTTCCCACTAAAATCACTTTAGCTACTGCTTCGACAATCACATGTCCAGTATGATCAGCTATTGTGTTGTGAGCTGCTCTTTAATTGAGGTGAAATTTTCTTCTTGTTTTGATCAACTTCTCCCTTTAAATGCATTGAGGTCAGGGAAAATATCATTATTTGTGTTTATTAATGCACTCTGATCGACTCGAGGTTTGTTGGCACAGATATCTTTTATTCCATTCAATATCTTGCATCCCTAATATATATACACATAAGAATCTGAAAACAGTAGTTCCTCCTGCCGGCTCTGATTGAAATCCTTTTAATCAAGAGTTGATTGTATTTTATTTCGGCTGCAGTGCAGTGGCATCACATCTACATGAAAGAGGGCTAAGCTCTCTCCAAAGACACGTACTCCAACAAGACCTCCATGAATTATTAAAGGGCCGTATGTCCAGAAGTCGGATAATTAATATCCATCTCCTGCTGGGTTCTCAGTGGAGACGCGCCTGTTAGCCACACCGTATTTCAGGAGTTCAAGGAGAGGAATAATGTCCCACTGATGGCCACGCTGCACTGTTTGTGCCGGCAGCTGTTTGCTTGAGAACAATAACAGAAGCCCAGTTCTGTTAAAGTGAAACAAGCAGGATCCAAACACTCGCACCGCTAAGTAACAAACATGCCTCAGTTTGAGCAAACCTTCTGATGGTTCCTGTCTGAGTTACCATCTCAGTTTTTTTGTTGTTTTTCTTTTAAGTTTGCTTTGTAGCCGAAGAAGATGAAAATCGGTCATCAATGCCACTTTCCTTTTTCCACCAGGCCTCGAAATGAAGAGGCGCTCAGTTTGGGTCGGATGTTTATATTCATTTGGGGGATTTTAATAGAGGAGCCATGTTGTGACGACTTCTCGAAGGCGGAGTTTCAGAAAGAACGGGAGTTTCTTAAAGAGACACAAGCCCAATTTCAAGGCCTTAAATTAGAAAATTACATTTTCCTTAAGTCATTGTTGATATACACATATATGTAGCAAGTTTATAACAACTGAAAGTAACTTTAGTAAAAAGTGCTATAAAGTGGCATAATGCGGTTGTACTGTACCTTGAAGCACAATTTGTTTGACAAAAGACGTGAATATTTCTAACAGTAAATGAAGCACAAGTACAGTGGTAGGTTAAGAGATCCTGTCTTGAAAGAATGCTGACATCATTTCCCCCCCGATTTGTTCTTATAAATTTAGGTAAGTTTACATTGTTTGGTTTGTTTTTTCTCTACCGTAGTTTTTCCTCAGGACAAAAAAAAAGTGCTCTTCTGACTTATTATTATTCCTTGCAGCCTTGCATGCCAACATTATATATGGTTAGAGGCATTGAATTCCCTAAATGTTCTCCTCTGACACAGATCATAGTGAGGGATATTCAAAACCCCACAGAAAGCATAGAGAGGATCCAAACAACGGAAGAGAAAAGAAGCTGAGGAGAATATGGGTTTGTTTATTAGTTAATAATATTATGAGCTCATGTTTTCCCAATATAGTCCCGTCTTATAACATGAGAACACCCATTGTCTGTCTCTACGGCTTTTGGCTTTCAATTCATCTTCGGAATTGGAAATGAAATGAAGGCAGTCTGCATATTTATACTTTCAGTGTTATTCTAGCGGCAGGGTCTGATAAATCCACCTGATGTCAGAAACATTTCTGACTTCCTGTTATTTGTAGAAGAGTATTAAAAGGTGACAGGTGATCAAGATAGAGGGGTGTTTTTCAACAAAACAATACATTTTTTATATGCTAAAAGCACATTTTAAAGACTGTGTGTAAGAGCATAGTAGAGTAATTTCTACAAAGTACGGTAAATATTATTTACTATTAAAAATTGATTGGACACATACAGTGGGCATATACTGGATAGTAACTAAATTTGTTTTCTGTTACTATACGAATTATTTTTTTCTAGGCTCCTGTTTGTATGGAAGGCCATTTCTGCCGCGATAGAACAAAATAAAAGCACATAAAGTCATAAATATAAGTTTTAAAATAACATTTATTGAAATAAAAGTCACAATTTCTATTTTCAAAGTCATGATTATGAACTCAAAAAAAAGGATAATTATGAGATAAAAAGTAAGGAGGCTATCTCAAGCATTTCATAATCATGGCGTTGAATCTAACAATTATGAATTTCTACACGATTAGTACTTTGAAAGTCAAAATTATGACCTTTTCTCTCACAGTTTGGACTTCAAAACTCATAAATATGACTCCCTGTTGAGCTTTTTTTTCTTTCATGGCAAAAATGGGCTTCCATACAAATGTACATTTTCTGTTGGTTTTAGAAATTTTCAGCTGTCATACAGCGATGCAACAGAGCTCTAATTTTAGCCCTTTAACACTATGACAAGAGCTGCAGATGGACCCAACTTATTAAATATAAAAATAAAAAAGTCAAGTTGAAGAGCACTCCTCCATCATTTAGCAAGTCATCTACTGCTTTTAGTATTTGAAGGTCAAGCCACCTGCCCTCACCACTGGGTTTGAAAATAAAAGCTTCAACCAACTTTATCAACAAAAAACCACATTTACAAGAACATCATTCAACATGGCAAACACTCAACCCAAACTGGGAAGAAGTCACTGGATTGGAACCCAAGCTCAAAACCTTTTCTAATGACTCACATTTTAATAAACGTTGATCGAAAGCGTCAGTAAAAACCAAACGTCAAGGATGACTGCTAGAAACTTCAGCATCCACTCAAAGAGCTCCCTCTGCTGGTGAATTACACAAATAGCAAAGGATGCGCGTTTGAACCCATGTCAAAAATATCTGAAGTTTGAATTAAGTTTTGGGTCACAAAACGACACAAGGAGGGCCAAACTGAGCTATGTGAGAGTTTGCAGAAAATACAGGAAAGAAGATTCGCTTGATATAGTCCAAAGAGTAACTAGACTTTTAGTTAAACGTCTAATTCAACATCTAATCCAGTAAATTACATGGATGAATTGGATTTTCAAATCCTTGTGCTAAAAGGCTTTTCTATTAATCACAACTACGACAAAAACTTTAAAAAGCATCTCTTACAAATAAATGATGGTATTTTTTTCTTTTTCTTCTCGTTTTCTGAAAATATTTTTTCTTGCCCTACAATCTGGACTTGAGTTACATCTCTTCTAAAGCAACACATTTGGAGCTACATTTGTTTGGTCCCCTGCACCTTTTAAACCAGAAGCAGGAAATCCAGTGGTTTTTTTTGTTATTCAGTGGCTTGCAACAGTTACAAACTTCAATGTAAATATACCAACACAAGGCGCACAGTTTCACACAAAGCGGAAGGAAAATGATGGTCGGTGTTGACAGCTTCTCATGAAACGAAAATATAAAACTTTCAACTTCTGCGTATCCAGAGATTGAAATTATAGATTAAATAAAAAAAACTCAAACTGAGCCAGATTGGCTGGAAAGCATCAACGAGCCACCATCTTTTTAAATCTCGCAAAAGGTTCTCATCTGGATTTAGACCGGGACTTTGAGAAGGTCTTCCTAACCACACACATGCCAAATTTCGTCTCAGGTTTGGGACGGTGTGTTCGAGGTGTTGCGGGCAGCGTTAGTTTTCCACCACACATAGTTGTAGTTGACAAAGATCAGTTTCACTCTTGTTGACCGCAGCGCCTTCTTTAAGTGCGCCGTACCTCTTGAATGGCTTGTGGCAAACTGCAGGCAGGACAATTTAATTCAAGTTTTACACTTAAAATGTTGCCATAAAGTCCAAAACTGCTTCTTGAACAGCTGTCCTATCGAGACTTAATACTCTGTCAATGTGTGTGGATGGCAGAGTCCCGGTTTGAGGTTATGGGTTTTGGCCATAATCTTAAACCTGGGGATGCTCAAAGCATCATATGTTGTACTAGTAATCTAATTCTGCTGTTGCTGAAACGATTAATCCGATTAATCGTAATTAATCGCGATTAATCCGATTGATCGCAATTAATTGGTTCTTGAAATAATCACCAACAAATTTAGTAATTACATCAATCATATTAACAACATACTCAGAGCAGTAATCAGACCAAAACTGTACATTTAGATATGTTCAGGCCAGAACTTATAAAATGGCAGTTTTGTGTTCGCCTGAATGAAATTGTTTAAAAAAAAATAAATAAATAAAATAGAAGCACTGTCCTCAGTTACACTTAAAATTAGTCACCAGTTTAGCTCCAAATGATCTGAAAGGGGAACTGAATTATTTGTATTTTAATATAGCCTATTCGAAAATCTTACACGGTTAAATAAAAAACCTGCAGTGTGGTAATTAAAAAGAAGAAGAAAAAAAAGATTGATAATTTTGTAGTTGAATGCAAAAACAATTGCTGGCTGCAGCCCTAACTGGTGGCGCTGGACTTTATCTTGCTGTTTTGAAAGTATATGTGGACTGGACAGAAGTGACAGCAACACTTTGCATGCTTCTCTTTTTTCAGAATTGCGCGCTACTTTTGCTTCGATCCGAGATCGAATCGATGCAGAGATCGATTGAACTTGGGAGGACTTTGGAGAGGCGTGAAGACGTTTGCGAGGCGTCACTGAGGACGCGGGGAGAAGCGGTGTTGTGTCGTTTACGACTCGTTCCCAGCGCGGCATGTGTGCAGCCTTGGCGTTTTTCTTGCCCAGGGGTCGAGCGTGGAGCTGCTGCCGCTGTCCAGCAGGGGTGGTGCTGAAAAGCCGAGGCCTGAGCTCACGTCCCCTCCCGACGGGGCCTCCGGCATCCCGTCTCGGTACAAAAACAACAACAAAAAGACCTCAACACCCGATCAAACCAACGCCGACGTCTTTGTTTTGGAGGCAGACAAAGCGAGGGGGGAAAGATTGAGGGGAAAAGGCCGCCAAAAGCCTCAAATCACGGCCACATTCAGCCGCGCGAGCCGCTCGCTCCTGACGCGGGCCTCCGGGTTACAACACTTCCGTCTGCTGTTTCTTTTTCTCCCCCTTTTTACGTTTGAAGCACATGTTCTCAAACTACACGTACGCGACCCTAACCCCCCAACCCCCCCCCCCCCCCCCCCCCCCCCCCCCGCGGCTTAAGCTGAAAGCCCGACAGCCGCTTCCAGTAACCCGCTTCAAGCCGAGACGTACCGCTTGTAGTCCGAGGAGAAGATCCCACCGCTCGCCGGATCGTGGCCATATTCAGGCTCCCCGACGCTGGAGGAGCCCCCCTTCTCCTCGTTGAACGCCGAGCTGGAGGACATCTCCGCGGCTTATTCTGCTGATAATGTTCCCCCGGTCGGCCTCGCGGAGCGGCGATGGAGAATCAGAGCGCAGAGGGGGAAGCAGGATATGCGGCTCTTAAAGGCGCACAGACACCGCCGCTGTCTCCGTGCTGGAGAAGAGGATGACGGGAGGCAGAACAGGGAGGGGAGGGGAGGGCGGTGATGAGGCAATGGTCACGTGGTTTTCACAGATTGTTTCTCTGGATGTAAACATCTTGTGTCCTCTGCTGTCAGGGCCACTAGATGAAACAAGCAGGCGCCATGATGATGCGCCGGTCCTCGATCCAGTTCGAGGATGTTATAAATCTGCACAGGACAGCGTGCAGGGCCATTGCAGAAAGAAAGAGGAAAAAAAGGAAGAATACATTTCTGCCAAAAGCCTCAGAAATGTTGAGATTGATCTTAGAAGTTTTCAAGGAAAACAAAGGCCAATTCTGAGTTTGGAAAGTGGAAGATTTTCTGAAAAAAAAAAAAAAAAAAAAAAAAATTAATATAATAAAAAATCAGATTAATCTTGGATATTTTGTTCTAATGTTGTAGAAAGAAATAAGCTCTGAATTTTTTTATTTTAAAAAAGGACATTTCTGAGCTTGAGCAGTCAAAAACTGACTTGAAAAAGCTCAGAATTTGAGATTAAGCTGAGGAATTGGAGAAAAAAGCTCTTTGAAACCTTTTGGGGTTTTTTTTTGGGGGGGGGGATTCCAAGTTTTTTCCAGCAAGTTTGAGATGGATGATTTTGTGCCTTGAGATCGCATTTGTAGTGAATCTGTTACATAAATCCACTGAATTAAACTGACTTACAGGTTTGCCTCGCTGGTGTCCACAAATAAGCCTTAACTGATCCAACAAATTATTCAAATTTCTTGTCGTGTTGCAAGTTTTCCCACCAGCTTGTTGGTTTGCAAATGAAGACATGCGACATTTTGTGAAACTGTTAAATGATATGTTTATTGTGTGCCTTTCTCTCTTCAATTTAACATTTGAGAACACAAACCTTTGTACGTTTTAATAAGAAAAGCCAGTCCACATATTTGAAGCGATAACTAGATTCCGTTTTTACATGGCGGTTCTTCAGTCAACGTATCCACCGACAGACGCCATGACTTCATACAGATTGGTCACCTGAAACAGAGACATCATATATATTCGTAAACATTTCCTATTTAAAATTTGGGAGGGCAGTCTAGACAAAGGGAATGTTTGGCAATGAAAGTACTTGACCTTTTTTCCTTTCCCGACTTTGAAGTTTTTGAGCTTGTACACAGTCACCTCGCCCCGACTGTCCCCAACCAAAATGCAATCCGAACCTTTGGCAAACAGCAAGGACGACAGCGTCACGCCGGGCTTGGTGTGGTGTACCACAATGGGCAGCATGCTAGACGAAAAGGGTTTGCGTTGTAACTGTTTGCCTGCAAATCGGCTTGAAACAGAACCGAACACACAGCCTAGGGAAACGCCGGAGTGACTCACATGCTTCTGGAGAGGTCCCAGACCTCCACATGCTGCCTGTAGATGGCTGCAAACACCGTGCAGCAGTTTGGGGACCACTTGACGCTGTCCACTATGCTCTGCACGGACGTGAAGCTCATTGTGGGGTTCAGCGTGTCCATCTTCCACATCTGAATCGTCCCGTCTGAAGAGCTGCTCAGGAACACGTCTGAGTAAAGAGGCGACCACTCGATATGCGTCACTGGGGACTGCAAGAGCGGAACAAGTGAACAACGCTGTTTTTCTGTTTATGTACATATATAACACACACACACACACCCACGCACACACACACATTTTGAAAAAAAGAAGAAAATAATTCTTACTCTCAACTATAGATTCAGAGTTTAAAGTCAGAAATTTTCAGATTAAATCAGAATTTCTGAGATTACAGTCAGAATTTTTAGATTAAAGTCAGATTTTTTTGGGCTAAAGTAAAAAAAAAAAAAAGAGATTACAGCCAACACACACATTAAATCAGAATGTTTGAGACTAAAGTCAAACTTTTTTAGATTAATGACCGAATTTTGAGATTAAAGTCAGAAACTTTTAGATTAAAGTCGAAATTTTTTAAATTGAAGTTAAAATTCCTGAGATTAGAGTCAGAATTGTTTAGACTAAAGTCAAATAATTTTGAGATTACAGCCAACGTTTTGAGATTAAATCAGAATGTTTGAGATTAAAGTTAGAATTCTGAGTTTAGTCTCAAAATTCTGACTTTAATCTGAGAATTTTGACTCATAATCCCATCGCTACCCAGCGAAACTGGACTAACACAAGCAGTCACTGTCGCTAGTTTTCCGCTTGTAAATAAATGGAATTTTTAAAAAGCATAAACCCCCAAGAGAAAATCCCGAACCAACTTTCAGTCATTTCCGCTCCCTCCTGCAGAATTTTACAGAACAGAAAATTAAGATATTACAATGTTTACATTTGAAATAGAGGTCAGTAAAAACCTACAGGGTGTTTACAGTATGTATCCAGAAAATGATCGCTGTTGGACAGAGAGCACTTGTGCATGCCGCCATCCCACGTCCCGATCACATAGATCCCAGTGTCCTGCAGCGGCACGTGGTCAACAGTTAAAGATTTTTAGTAACATAAAAGTAGGAGACAGACAAATGAACATTGAGTTTAAGCTTTAATATTACTTCTGCTGATTAAAGAGAGATTGATAAAGAAAGGAAAATCTGTATTGTTTGCACAATAGAAAAACAGGTATGGATGAATCAAGTGACACAATTCAATAAATTAAGAAATGTATTACTTGTAAAATGTGTGATAAAAGCTTTAAATAAATACACCCTACTTAGTATAACATGTTAAGCATGTAATCAACATGCATGACATCAAAAGATTAATTTATTTAAGCAAATTCTGTTGTTTAGTGCAGAATATGCACTACCAGCAGTGGTCCTATTTTAATTAAGTAGTTTCACTTTTTAATATCTAAACATGTGTGCTTATTATAATTGCAGACAAAGTGATCCGTTTATGTTAAGCTTTATTTGATTCCTTTATTTTATGAATTAAAGGAAACTACTCTTGATTACTCATCAGATTGCAGCACTTTGGGCCCTCGATGATGCTACCGCAGTACAGCGGCCCAACACGTTCCACGTAAAATATATAATCTTTGCTCATTTTCCTGAGCCAACTTACGTCTGGATGGAAGTCAATGCAAAGAACAGTAGTCAGTGGTAACAGCACATTTTCAGTCTTCGACGAGGCTCCGCCGATGCTCAGCCTACGACCTCCGCTGACGCTCTGCTTACGACCTCCACTCCTTTTCAAGATCATCAGGTCTGGAAAAACATGTGGGTTTTTTTTGTTTTGTTTTTTAAAGAAAACAAAGATTTCAATGTTATGATCATTATAACAGAGCTGGGCTTTATCAGTAAATCTGCATTCCATGAGGGTTTTTTTTTTTAAATATTTTCACAAGTTTTCATGTAGAAGTAGATGATTGTGTTTTACACAATTTATTTCTACTGTAGCTAAATCAGAATTGGAAATGTTGGTGAAATGTTTTCTACATTCCGCTGACGTTGGAAGAAACACAATTTTGAAATTGCTGCGTTTCCATTAAATCCATCCGTCCATCCATTTTCTGAGCACCCTTCTCCCTAACGGGGTTGGGAGGTGCTGGTGCCTATCTCCAGCTGCGTTCCGGGCGAGAGGCGGGGCACACCCTGGACAGGACGCCAGTCTGTCGCAGGCCTGTTTCCATTAAATAAAAAACACAATTAAAGTCTCATATGAGCACGTTTGCTCATGTCATTATCAAACATGCCGCACCATTGTCCTCCGACCACTTCCTGTTGTTCTCCGCTGCTTCTTTTCCGTCAGTATTGACATCCGGTTATTGATCACGTGACTGGTGCAATGCGAAAAAAAAGCTTTGTTTTGAACATTTCGATAAGGCCAGTGCAAAAAAAGTATCAATAATTGTCATGTTTCTGTTCCGATTTGCGTGACTCTGTGGCCAATGGAAAAGCGGTCAGGCACAGCACGTGCAGTTCCTCTCCACAACTGTTGGGGGCAGCGCTGATATATTTTCACACAGCAGAAACAAGATGCCTCCTGTTTGATAGACTTGATTCAATTTAATGCACGGATTTTTCAAAGAAATTAAAGTGTAAATTTGCATAATCAAGGCCGTATTATGTAGCTGCTTTAAATGACAAAACAAAGCTTAGATAGTAAAGGTTACACTCCCGTTATGTTGAACCTGTAGTGTGTGTGGGGTTTATTACCTACGCAGTTGAAACCATTGTGCAGGATGAGCCATTTCGTAATCCTGCCATCTCCTGATATGGACACTAAAACCTCTTCTCGTTCTTCCCCTGATAGCTGCAGCTGCTGTTTGGTCCAGGTGACCTGCCACACCGGTTGCATGTGCCTCTTAGCACAGTCACTATGAAAGAAAGCAATCGAAGAAATGAATTAATAAATAAGCAGCTCTTAACATTTCACGGCTGACAGTCTGTGAGATTTGGTGTCAAATGATCCAAACTAATTGAATAAACTGGTTCACCCCTTCGCCTGTGGTGCCGCTGCACCAAGAACCACTGAAGGAAACGACACTGAGCACAACTGAACAACTCCATTTTACAACCAAATGTAAAATGGAGTGGCTTCAGATTTTAGCGGTTGCAGGATTTCTCTTTTGTCGTTGTCTCTAACAGGAGATCTCCTTCTCCCGTCAGCGATAGACTCTTTGATTTGATTGTATTTACCCAGAATGCCTAGTGCTATAGTCCACTCCCTTTGGAGCGCTCTTTGGCACCAAAGCTCACATCAACCGAACTGAAACCGAGGTTTTTTTGTGGAACAGAGCTTGCTTTTTTTCCACATAAGAGTTAACACCTCACTGAACAAACCGGACTTCCTAGGCAGACAAACTCTCGTATTGGCGCCACTCACATACTCCCCCTTGTTCTCTTCTACACTACAGCTGCTTCACCACAGAACAGGCCGCTAGAAAGCTGAGGCTAGCTAACATTTCCACCAATGACGGCAGATCAATAGTTTTCCTGTAACTGTAAGTTGTTTCTCTGACATTAACACATTTTCCAGAGCATACATAAGCTGATTCACAGCAACAAGACACTCCCCCAGGCTCTGATTGGTTGTTTTTCACAAATATTGCAGATCACAGCAAGTCTGTGATCTGCAAGTCTTTGGCAGATCACAGACTTGCTGTTTCACTTCATAGAGTCACGACATGGTGACAGTTTTAACAAATCTGAAGAAAGCATAACATTCAGCTTTAACATTCTCACGTTTAACAGCCATTGCAGCGTTGCTCTCACCGGCTGTTGGCGATGCACGCCGTTTCGTCTCCGACCTGAACGTTGTAGATGGCGACGGAGCCGTCGTACAACCCCACGGCCAGATGGCTGGGGTTGCTGGAAGAGAACTCCAGGCACGTCACACTGTTATGGCAGGAAAACACTCGCTCCGACCACTGTGCATGGAACACAAATTTAAGTAATGAGAGTTTTTTTTTTTTTTTTCTGTTACAGCTGAATTTATTGCTACACAAACAGAGAAACATACCATTAGGTTTTTTAGAGACCAGCAGCAAATTAAACCTGGTTGTGGTTTGCCTGAGGACCAGCCTCCGTAGCCTACTGCCAGGATGTCCTTCCAGAGAAGTCAGGGTACATAAGAGTTGTCAACAATGTGTGGTTTCACCTCTTCTAACCATTATCTTCTTCACTTATTTGGGAATTGGTTGAATAAAGACAAGAATCTACACCATAAAATTAGGACAATAACTGTGATTAGATTTTCTGTTTTTGAAGTGTGGCTGTGTTACTGGGTTCTTCTTGTTCCATGCCATGCTGGTGATGTTGTGTCCTTTGGTCAGGGGGCTGACGAAGGCCCAGAGAGGCTCCAACGTCGGCGTTAAAAACCTGTCCCTCTTCTCTGGACTCTGTTCCTGAGAGCTAGGCCTGACCTCGCTGTCCGGATCTTAAGCAGCAAACATAATTACTCTGCATACAGCTTCATGCAACGCTACACCACACTAATTACATGAACCGATGTTCTGTGCAACGTGAATCAAAATAAACAAATTGTCAAACATTTGACAAACAAGCAAAGAATTCATTTGTAGCCATATTTCTAACTGGGAAGTTGCTCAACTTGCTCAACACAAGACTAAGGAGAGCACCGATTCAGTTTCCATTACAAATGTGCGCAAAACTTTGTTGAATTTCCACGAATGTCGAAACCACAAAATTGCGGCAATTAAAAACATGCAGCGCCATCACCCGCCTACCACTTCCTGTGTGATGCCCAAAAAAGTGTTTCTAATGAAACACATGACTTCCGATATGGCCGAAAAGCCACTTCATCCTAAAAACGACTTTTTAGGATGAAAAACCTTTTTTCTTTTTCATCCTAAAAAAAAGAGGATGAAATAAACATTTTTTATTAATAAATAATTTTATTTTATTATTTATTAATAAAATACAATTATTTATTTTACTAAAAAAAATTAAAAATGTAATAAATAATAAAAACGGGATGTACTGTGGTGGCGCAGGGGGTTAGCACGCCCCACGTTTGGAGGCCTCAGTCCTCGATGCGGACGTCGTGGGTTCGACTCCTGGGCCCAGCGACATTCGCCGCATGTCTTCCCCCCTCTCCTTGCCCTCCTTCCTGTCAGTTTACTGTCAAAAAATGCGAGCCACTACCGCTGCTAAAAACTCTTCGGAGAAAAAATAAAAACCAACTCAGTACAATCTTTTTTGACAAGTTACAAACTCATTTGCCAAAAAAGGTGAGTTGTTTTTTTTCCGATATTGCTGTGTTTCCATTAAACAGATTTGCTTTTGAAATCCCAGTTTGTGCATTTTAAGGTCAGTTGAAATACATCTACATGCAGACTGACTGAGCTCACCTTTGAGGACGTTGAGGCCTCTGAAGGCAGCCAGCTTAGGCTGAAAAATGTTCAGCACTATCACCCTCTCCATTATCAACGCACTGTTCATGAAAGCTTCCGACGACAGGATCTTTTCTAAGTCTGGCTCTGTACTTGACGTGAACAGATCTGCGTCCACCTCTGACTCCGAGCTGACGCCACTGCCTGTGGAAATGACACATAAAAAAAAAATAATAATTTTTTATCATTTTTATACAAATGGCAAAAACATGTGACTCAAACCGAATCCCAAAGAAATGACAAATGAACGAGTGGCAGAAACTATTCTTCATTAGTGTTATGATAGAACAAACTTTCATCCAATTTATTTGGATTTTATGTGATAGATAACGTTTGTTTTTTATGTAGAGAGGAGTTGATTTTGTTCTTTTTGCCATAATACATAGTCAAAATGAAGAGAAATATTAGCTCAGGCTATGTCCCCATTCAGGTGCTGAGTGTATACTAAAGTTTAACTTTTTGAATTTAAACAAGTGAATTTCTTCATTACATTTTGCTTATTTTAGAAAAGTGCCTAGGATTAGTAGCACAGCAAGAAGTAAGCCTGATTTTCACTGAAACTGTTACCTGTGTCCCCACTCATGGTTCCTTCTGAAACGTCTTGCTCTTTCTTGGTGCTCACAAGATAATCTGCCTGCTCAGTTTCCCGGGTTTCCCTATTTTCGATCGGCATAGAGAACGAATCATATATATCCCAGACAGTAGCGATTGTGCCTGTAAGCATGAACACAACACGTGATTCTTTTTTTTGACTTTCCAAGGTTAGTTTAAAAAAAGTCAGACAAATCTGAAAACAGACATAAGCGGGATAATCAGAACGATTATCCCCTTTGCGATGTTTTGTGTGTTCGTTTTCCCTGAAAATCAACTCTCACCCTTGTTGACACTGTTGTTCTTGTTGGTCTGCGTGGATTTGCATTTATACTCCCCGACACATGCCTGAGATGATCGGTCTAAATAATTATCACTGCCCATTTTATTACTGCAAAACTCGGCGTAGGCATGGTTTCTCTGGCTGCGACAGAAGACCCAAAAGAGAAAAAAAGGGGGAATTTAGCCTCATAAGGTCCACTTCGAGTTCAAGGTCTCGCTTTGGATGCGCTCACATCACCGTGTCTGCGTCCTCAGCTTCTTCCGAGATGAGGGCGGGGCACAGGTCCAGCAGCGAGAAAGTGTCCGTCTCGCTGAGGATGATGTCGAATGCTTCAGCCATAGGCTTCTGCTGGGATTCTGAAATAAAAGAGTATCATTTCCAGAAAACTGCACAACTGCCGAAACACAGAGTTCTGTCAAATCAAGGCTACCCCCCCTACACAGACACACACACACCTTTTTAGAAATGCCTTTAATTAGTAAGTAAGTGAAACACTGATTTACATATTTCATGTTCATTTGTTTGATTATTTTGGTGATGGAGTTTGACAAAATGGCATGTTTATCACTTGTTTGAACGAGCGATCTTAATACATCGTTACTGATCTAACGATGCGTATCACTATAGACACGCTATCAATATCAATAGATGATACGGCTGATAAGAATTTTCAGTAATTCCACTGAACTCTGAGCTGGAACCGCACAGCATTCTGGGAGATGTGGGCAGACAACAGAACTTTAGTCACTCAACTTCTCACGGCCCGCTAAGCAAGGTTGGTGGCGTCAACTCACTCGCTCCTCTTTGGTTACTTTGCAATTTATATATATCTGCATTTATTTTGTGTATGTTTTTATGAAATGTGCTATATGAATACATCTGACTTTGACTTTTGCAGGCGTTGAAGAAACCCTGCTCTGATTGCAACCAAAGTTGGCGCATATTCTGAAAATGTGGTCTGCCGTCAATTTGAGACATTATTTATGCTCTTTATCACTTGGAATGTATTTGCTTTTTTATAGATAAACACTGGTTTCCTATTTATTCATCAGCAAAACTGATGTCCAAAATACCAAATCTGACCTCATCTACTGGTCTTGAGGGCAATAACTCAAGTAAAATAATTTGCACTGGCTATTTGTTCAATATGTATAGCAAAAAAATAAATAAAGATAAAATAAAAAATTGTAGCGACCACCGTAAGCGGCAGCAGAGCCGTGCAGAGGAAAACTATCTTCGGTTCCACTGCTTCTTGAGAGAAAACCAGATTCCACAGACATGGTGGTAAATGAGCTGCCAAACAACCTGCAATTCACACAAACAGGAAGAGTTTAAGCATTGAAATATTGATTCTGTTAAAAAAAAAAGACCCATAGAAACATTGTTTGAAAGCACAGCGTAGTGAACTCCATATGCCATATATGATTTCACATAGAAACCTTATGACATCTTGATTCTAAAGAAAACCTATGGTGTGGGATGAATGGAAGAGAGCAAGGAAAGACACAAGACTTTCATTTTTTGGAGAAATGCAGAGAACTTGTCCAAAAAAATTAATGTCCATAAATTTCTCTCCATGCATGCTTCGGTCGTGTGGTATGTTCTGGTGGACTTACTGGCAAAAGATGGTTGTGAAAAGTGTCACATTATTTCTTTTTACTGTGATGGACTGTTTCCCTACTGAATATTTGTATCTTCCAATAAAAGACAGTGACATTGGTACAATTAAACATTCTTTTTAAAACATTTTTTGAAGGGTTTTAAAACCTTTTTACCAGGCGTCCCAATAAACACGGAGGGCACAACACGTGCGGCTTATGTGTTTGAATGTGGCAGTCTGGTACCTGGACGAAACCGCTTCAGTGGGTGTAGAGGACTTGAAACCCAATGATCCGCTTTGGAAAAGGATTTCCTCCAGAGATGCATGATCACGTGTTTTGGACTCCGGGTGGTCAGTGTCGCCAACCAGGGGCAGAGGAGTAACATCTTTCCCTTGAGAATCAAGCACCTGGAGCGACAGGACGACAAGCCACACACGTATGTAAATATGGAGCAAAGTTTTGGGGTTAATACCATTTCTAAATGGTATTAACCCCAAATGGTAATTTCAGAGGAATATGGTATATGCTACATCAGTCTCTGATGTAGCATATGCATGGGGCACCGTGTATGGGGGAAAAGTTATGACACTTCTAAGGAATCTTGACCAACAGGGAGCCCTCCACAATTTATTTATTTATGTTTGGTTCATTGAAATGAAAAAAAAAAAAACAGGGTCCCTATCAATTACAAAATTAAACATATTGTATTTTCGAAGATTGTTTTTAGCAGTAAGCATTTAATGCTTCCATTCCAAGACCAAAAAACACACATCCATATTTGCCCTGAACCCCCTGGATCTGACTGAAATGGTTCCTTCCTGCTTAGAGGCTGAAGGCGTTCAGCAACAGTCAGTGGACGACAAGAATGACTGTGGCTCTTACTATGCTACTAAGAAAAATTATAAAGAGGTTTTCAAAATAATAAAATAAAAATATTAGATTGAAGGAGTGACAGCAAAAGGCAAGAGTGTCAATTTATAGCCCAGTTTTTCTCCTAGAGGTGGGTAGACTGTGAGATTATCAACCATTCAGCATAATTAACTTAGTACAGACTACTGATTGCCTCCATTCCACTAGCATCAAATGCTTAGACTAGTTAGCATAGCTACCAGTGACGGCAGATAAACATTTTTCCTGAAATGATATGTTGTTTCTCCACCATTAGCATATTTAGCAGAGAGTGAATGACAGCATTAAGACCCTCCTCCTGGTGCTGATTGGTTGTTTTGGCCAGAACGTTGCATTACTTTAGCCAGTAATTGTAGTTCAGGCAGAGGAGATTGATGAATGTAGGTGTCATGTCTATATACATGAAGTCTGGATTGCTTCATGTATATTTTTGCATGTTGCCTATGACGGATGCTGGTGAGGAGAGATCTTTCAAGAATCTAAAACAAATAGGAAAAAAAAATTAAGCAACCTACTTGCACGCTGTATGTAGACTGTTGGATGTAAAATTCATGAGCAGTAAACACTGTGATAGTATCAGTGTTGGACCAAAGAAAGCAGGGCAGTTGTAAGTCTTTAAAATTGTGACGCTTTTGATAGATCAGACAGTCTCAAAAAAGTGTGACAGCAGCTGCCTAGAGGTGTGGGGGGGCAATTTTATTTACTTTTTATTTTTGAGCATACGATTGAACACACACACGCACAAAAATGGTATCCTGACAAAAGACAGTGACATTTAACTGGAATGAATGATAAGAATGCAAAGAGAAAAGTTAGGTTTGTGTACCCGCATTCCTTTGCCACTCTGATGAAGACCGGAATCTTTATGGAAAGGAAAGCCTGAAAACCTCCTTTTCCGCTTTACCTGCGGGCTGCCTTTTACCTCTCTGGATCTATTTATTCCAGACGAGCTAAAAGAGAGCCAAAGGGACACAATTCACTTTTAAGACAGGACTTAGTTAGCCAATATAATTAGCTCACGGCTCTCTCGCTAGCTAACCTAATTAGTTTTGGGCATCGTCGACGAGAACAATTGTTACAGTTACAGTACAAAACCACAGTAGTACCGTAAACATGTCTTTGAAACTTACGAACTGGCCAGTAGAGATTGCCTCCTCTCTCCTTCCTTCATTGTAGGTTTATTACCGCGAGCGAGCGAGCGACCTCCTCTGAAGTTGAAGCCCTCCTCAAACGTCTGATAGTTTGGAGTTGCGAGTTTTTTGTCGGGACTTTTGACCTTATTTAATGCAGTTCTCTGGATTGACGTTTGGCCGACTGTCGTTGAACGTTTGAAACGCTTCTAAAAATGCTCAAATCTGAGCTGAATCGGTTTGAACCAACTGGATCCAGTCCTCTCCGACTCTCGGTCTCCATAGCAACGGCCGAATTAGGTCTCGCAAATTAAAACTATTGACCTCATTTCAATTATCGGCTATATCGTTTCTTCCGGCCTTTTTCTCTTACTGTTGATGACACTGAATGAAAAAAGGCTCAACTCCGGTGCTCTCCACTGACCCTCCCTTCCTTATTTCCTTAGTGTAATGCACAGCGCGCACTGCACCATTTTATGTCGCCAATTGTCGGCCCATCATCAAAACCTGAGATGCTACACATTAGCCGACGTAAATCCTCGGTATAACGGTTCGATCGAACCATGTGGTGTCCAACAATGGGCACAAAATAATAAGTCCAGTTCACTAATTTTGAAACCAGGCATTAATCAATTCCTTGATACAATCTATCTGCAATGCATGTATTGTACTTAGTGTCAGTCCCGACTGAATGAAAATCATTATAATTGGCTACCGGTCACATTCAACAGGCTGCGTTTAGCTTCCAGTCTGGGCAAATCCTTGATTTAGATCGGAGCGGCCACGGCGATCTACCGTAACACACAACACAAGTGACAATCTCAGAACGAATAACGTTCTAAGATTGTCGTTTGGGGTAAAAAATCCTGTAGTTTGAAAGACTGCATCAGGCAGTCGGATGTCTTCTCTATTAAAATCTCAGACTTCATAATCTGCACTCTTTTGGTTGAATGCAGTATTTATTTCCACTTTGGCTTTATGTTGTATAGTTTTTATTCAAGTAAAAAATATGCATCTCAGTTAATGGAGACTTAGAATCTATTTTATTTTTGGTTGCTTTATTTATTTTGTGTATCAGTTTCAGTGATAAGTGTTCTTTTGAAAGTAAAGGGTATCTATCTTTGGCAGGAAATCATATGCATTATTACGTAATTTCTATTAAATCTGTGTAAAAAGGTCTTCAAACAATTTTATCGTTTATCGCAATATTTTTTTTGAGACAATTAAATCGCCCAGCAAAATCTGTTATCATGACAGGCCTACGATCACTAGGCCTACGATATTAGAAAAATGTGTTGTTGGACCTGATTAGTGATTATTTGTAGGACACAGTCGGTTGAGCATTCTACTGTGTACCCAGAACTAGTGGACCAGTAGGGAGGCTCACTGTGCTGTTTGTTATTAACCATTCATTACAGAAATTCAACCAACTAGCCTCTGCAGTGTGCTGTATGTGGGGGAAGAAGTCACAGTCGCACTACGTTTTTGGCCATACTGACCTATCTGTACCATATTGAGTGCTCAGAGTACATCACGTTTTTGTCCTGTTTGTTCACCAGCTTCCAGAGAACGGTTTATAAAAATCTGTGAAGAGGTTGAGTGCAATAACTGTAAATTCTTTCTTTCATTCCTCCATCCACTGATGGCGTAATTGCGCAGAAGGCAAGGCATTCTTGACAGCTACGAATTATGCTTGAGCGATTTCAGCATATGCTACATTTTCTCTGATTAACTGAGTACCTATCATTGATTTCAATCTGTTTAATAATATTTTTGAATATATTTTATACCCTAATAAGTATTAGGGTATAAAACTAATGGGTCTGTAGTTCTCCAAGTTATTCTTGTTACCTTTATTTTTGTAAATGATAGTTATGATTCCTTGTGCAAAGGTCCTGGGCGTGCACCCCGTCTGCTCCATGACAGAGAAACTCACAGTAATATTTTACTAATTTGCTTTTTGAATTTATTAAATAAAACTCAGTGGTGATACCATCAAGTCCAGGACTTTTATTGGTTTTTTTGGACTGTTTCTAAAATACTTGTTATATCAGACACTTTCTCTCCTTTTTCATTTATTAATTCATTTATTGTTGCATTGATTTGTGTTTTTCCTGTGCAAGAAAGAAAGTTGTGGATTTTTCACCTTCCCTTAAAATATACTCATTTTGAAACTCTTTTCCTTTTCTGTTTTCAATATTTTATTGAAATATTTTTGATTTCTAATTTTGCTTGATCCCACAATGATAATAGGTTGTCAGTGTGATCCATCTCCCCACTCAAGGTCTGCAGCAGGGCGTTGATCTCACCTCTGTAAAGCTCCTCCCTGAAGAAGAGCAGCATTCAGACAATTTAAACCCCGTTTAAAACAATTTAATACTGAACTGCTTTGATTTTATAGTTGGAACTGAAGCCCCTTAGCTTTTTCTTAAATACTGTTTATCTGAATTTGTTTTTTTCTTGAGGCATAACAAATTTTTCACTCTCGTTATAGTGTGTCTGGGAATAAAATTAAAAAAACAACAAACAAAAAAAAACGCCCCCGCTCGCAACAGACTTCTTGTGGCTTTGATGTGAAACTGTGATGTCACTCATCCGGTCTGGGACGTCATTGGTGACTGTCTCTATATTCCAAGATTCGACAGAGAAATTCATTTGCGATTTCAGGAGGTTTAAAAAGCAGGACAGCGATGGAGGAGAAAAAATTGTTCTTTGCAACCGTGGACGTCTTGGAGAGACAGTACGAGGAGTTTGAGGAGGAAAACATCCTCCTGAAAGAAACAGTGGAGAACCTGAACTTAAAACTCCAAACACTGACTGGGAGAAGAGACTCTACCATCAATGATCTGATGATCGAGAACAAATTGCTGAGGTAAAGACAGGAAGAAAGAGAAAGACGGATCCAGGCTCTGAATGAAGAACTGGAAGATTCAAGAGCCAAAATTGAATTACTAAAAAGAGAATACAGAGAGATGGCCAGAGAAAATCAACGCCTGGAAAACACCAACGTCTCCATAAGGCAACAGGCCAACACGAGACAAGACCAGAGATCGCCGCTGGCTTGAAAATGAAAATGAGGAGTTGAACAAAGAAATTGTTTATTCTTTCCATCTTTAAAAATAAAGATGGAAAGAATAAAATCCAGAAAAGAGGCAGCTGATGTCAAGAAAACTTTAAAGACCCAGGAAGAGGAGAAGGTACGGATGGAGACAAAGCCAACAATGCTGAGGAGAGTTGGGCATGTTTTTGTCTCCATGTACCAACAGGGAACATTGAGATTTTGGCTCCCTCCATGGATATTTAAATAGTGCTCAAAATATACCAAATAAAAACAAATTAAGGAGAAACATCTTGATAAAAACATTCCCAACTCTTTGAAACATTGTTGGTGTGGGGTCTCTTCCAGAGAGCGGGTCTGGGGTGAAGCAGGAACGATGGGAGAGTTTTGGAGAGGAGGGTTTGTTGGACAGTGGAACCTCAGATTCTGGAAAGCATTGTGCTTTTTGTCCTGGTCGTGGAACACTGGACCAGCTCTACACCCTCAGCAGGGTCCTGGAGGGCGCATGGGAGTTCTCCCAACCGGTCTACAGTTCTGTGGACTTGGAGAAGGCGTTCAACCGTGTCCTTCAGGAAGCCCTGTGGGGGTTCTCTGGGAGTATGGGGTCCCGGGCCCTTTGATACGGGCTGTCAGGTCCCTGTACGACCGGTGTCAGAGTCTGGTCCGCATTGCCGGCAGTTAGTCGGGCTTGTTCTCAGTGAGAGTTGGACTCCGCCAGGGCTTCCCTTTCTGTGATTCTGTTCATCACTTTCATGGACAGAATTTCTAGGTGCAGCCAAGGTGTTGAGGGGATCCGTTTTGGTGGACTTAGGATCACATCTCTGGTTTTTGCAGATGATATGGTCCAATTGGCTCCATCAGGACGTGATCTGCAGCTCTCGCTGGAGCGGTTCGCAGCCGAGTGTGAAGCGGCCAGAATGAGGATCAGTGCCTCCAAATCCGAGACCTCCAAATCCGAGGGCGATGTCCTGTCCCAAGTGGAGGAGTTCAAGTATCTTGTTCACGAATGAGAGAAGAAGGGAGCGGGAGATCGACAGGTGGATCGGCGCAGCGTCTGCCGTGAAGCGGGCGCTGTACCGGTCCGCCGTGGTGAAGAGAGAGCTGAGCCAAACAGCGAAGCTCTCCATTTACCAGTTGATCTACGTTCCCACCGTCATTTATGGTCATGACTGGAAGAACGAGATCCCAGATACAAGCGGCCGAAATGGGTTTCCTCTGCAGGGTGGCTGGGCTCTCCCTTAGAGACAGGGAGAGAAGCTCGGTCTTTCGGAAGGGACCTAGTTTGAATTGGAATGGGAGTTTGGTTTGCTGCTTTACCAACCAAAGTCTCTCCCTCTTCTAGGAGCTCACCTGTGCTGTGTAACGTGATGTGGGGAAGGTGGGATCTCCTCAAGCTTTTATTTATGATTGTGACCTGGGAGCCGGTATCCCACAACGCCTTGGTTAGCACATCCTCAAAGAAGCAGTCCACCATGCACTTATTTCCTATTAGAGCTTTCAGCTTGGTGTGATGATGGATGGAGAGGTGACTGGCATAAGTGGAACCTGTGATTCTTTTTGCTTTCTCATTCATTTCCACTTGCGCCTCCAGCTGTCTGATTTGTTTACAGAGCCGCTCATACACCTTTTCCTCAGCTTCTCCTTGGACTGCAGCAACAACAGCGTGTTGTTGTGAGTGTGTGGAGATTTGCATATTCACATTCATGCCATCAGGTTTCGCAGTCACCCCTTTTGATACCCTGAAGCCTCTAGAGAGGTGTCCCAACTGTCCACATTTAAAACAATGCTCACATTGATCATTTATTTTGTGCTCTACACATCCATTGCATCCCCTTTTAACATTCTTTCTTGCTTGGTTGACTGAGAGCTGGTCATGCTTTTCTTCATTTCCGTGATCTCTTCTCTGAGCAGTCTTACCGTTTCACACAGTTCAGACTCCCTTGAGCTGATGGGTGCACATGTTTTGCAGGTTTTCTGCTTCACCACTTCAGCTGACTGTTCTTGGATTGCCAAGCTGGCATTAGGTGCAAACTGGTTTAGATGCCTGGTCTGCATCTCTGTTTGTAGTTCGCTAATTTTTGGAATCTTGGTGTTGTAGCTTTTCCTCTGTTTGGACTGCCGTTCTGTCTCCACACTTGCAGTCTCATTCATCTTTTCAATAAGAGTCTCGTCTGTCACAGTTTGATCATCAAGGTAAGGCTTTAGCTGGAACTTTA